TGGTTTCAAAACCCAAGCAATTTGCTACTGCAGCAGGAAGAAACGCGGCCCCACGCATGCGTGGAGCCGGAGAGAGTACTTCTCACACCTCAGCAGCAGGTGATTCGTCGCCTGTTGTTGTAAACAGTCCACGTGGTGAGTCACCACGTGCGACAGGTACACCCGCTGCGTCTGCAGCGGGTACTACGAGTCGTTCAAGATGAGTCTACTCTAAAGCTCATCTATTCTGGCGAGTCGAATGATGCATCCGACTCGAAGGCAACACGTCACGCCTTCGGGTTATCCGGGGCGGACACTGCAAGAGCCAGGTTGACTGGCTCTGGTCAACGTGGCGGTATCATGTCCGAGGTCTTCGGATCTAGCGATTGTTTCGACGAATCCTCGCCGCACGCGAGTCCATCCAAAGATAGGACGCGTGGGGATGGTGGTGATGCACCTATACACAACCACGAGCGAAGTAACTCGAGGGATCGAGGTGTCACTGGTGTCCGTGCTCATGCTGACACCAATCAAGAGGCCAGAGATCGAAATGTTCTGCGCCACGCTCCTCAAGTGGAGTCTCCTTGGATGCCTCTATTCAAAGAGTTGGACCGAGTGGCCGGCATGACTACCAATCGGGATCAAATCCCGTTGTTCGATTTCAGAAAGATTTCCACCTAATTCCAGCACTAAAACTGTCCGTGCTGATTACAAGATTTTTACCGATGCATTTTTCAAACATCGGTGGTACAATGGTAGCCATGGACGAGACGGTAAGGTCTTGGTGCAAGGACGGAATGCCCTTATCCATAACATCGAGTGCATTGGCCGTGAGGCATGGCTCGGTAAGCTTGTGTAGATCGCATCAGGTATGAGAAGCGTAACTCAGTCGGGGTACGATGCAAGTTGCACCGGCTGTCAAGAGAGACAGGATTGCCCTGACTCTTGTGTGATAACTCGTGTTCAGGTTGCCTGGAACCGTGCCCCTAGGGAAGCCTACCTCAAATTGTGCCCCTAGGGAAGCCTACCTCCTTTATGATCCCTACTGGAGGGCGCGCATCTCTTCTGAGATACCAAAGGGACTTTGCACTTTGCAATCCCTGTACTCGCGTTCGAAAGGTCATTTCCGACGGCCTTTCTTCGAACGCAGCGGGTGTGTCTCTTCATGTTGCTCGACGAAACCCAGAACATCAACAATCAGCTGGGCACTGGGCCCCAGCTGTCCCAGGCCGGTGGATAGCCACGCCAGCGGACGCCGTAACCCGTCCGGACGCCACACACGTCGCGGTGGTTCAAGAAACGCTCCACAAGAAAGCGGTAACCACCGCCAGAATCCGCCAAAGGATGTGGTTGTGGCGGGAACACCTTATCCGGCTCGAGGGTCGATCAGCTTGATGTTCAGGAGCTGAAACGTGTAGAGAAATAGTTACCCGATGACCTGGCTTATGAATGGGCTGGTAGTTATGATCTCCATCACCTTGTAAAGGAGAATTACAATTTTGTAGCGCACGATCGTTCAAACGATCGTGTGGAGTTTGCGTTCGAGCAGCTTGAGAACGAAGGTTCAATTTGTTCTCTTCGTGACGAGCTGGCTGCAGCTCGTTGACACATCGCTCCACAGCTGGAGCAGGTCACTTCGCTAGACGACCAGACTGGCTCGTTAAAAGGGGAACACTCAAATGCTGTATCGTCCCTTGATCGTGGAGATATTCTTTGCCTCTCGAAACGGGTTCGTACTGATAGTACGGGCAGAGAAGACCGACGTAAAACGTAGGTGCGTACGCTTCCAACAAGGCAGTTTAATCGTGTATGCGTTGCCCATTCGGCGCAACACACGAAATGGACCGATGTACTTGGGCAGTAAATTACTGCTGCCCACTTTTGTCACTGCGTGCTCCGGTAAGTTTACTGTAGACAGATGAACTAAGTATCCTTTATATGCTTAAAGAACATTTAATCTTACATGTTTGTCTACTTTCTTTTCTATCTGTCTAGTGCATCTGCAATAGAATCTTGAACGAAGCGGACAATTGCTTCGCGAGTCAGCAGAAATTCCTCTGCTATTTCATCCTTGTCAACAGCAGTGCGCTTCGTGTGCACTGATAAAAAAAAGGTCCTCACCAGCGAGGGTGTCATCGTCCTTACTGTGGCAGTCATTAGCGATGCTGTATATACCAGCAATGTCGTCATGCTCATCATCATCAATATCGATCGCATCGACATCGGCATCCATCACGTCGACACCATTGTCGACGTGCGATATGAAAGAACTAGATCGGTTTTTGTTCGAGCGAGTCCACCACCTCTTTAAAAGTAGGGTCACACTCTAAGAATGTTGGAAGCGTGTATGGCGTAGGGCATTAACGCATGCACCGAGTTGTTGATGGCGAATTCCGCCATCGGCAAGAATTTACTCCAACTCGTAAACGAGTGGACATACCTTTGAAGTATTTCTTCGAGGACGCGGTTGACGCGTTCCGTCTGACCACCTGTTTCAGGATGGTCAGAAGTTGACATCGTCAAACGTGTTCCAAGTGAACGGAACACGGATTGTTAGAACCCGCTGTGAAGCGTGGGTCCCTATCAGACACGAGTTCACGGGGTAACCTGTGAAGTCGAAAGATAGTATCGATGAAGACACGCGCACAGCCCTGGGCTATGATACACTTCGGTACTGCAACAAGCTATACAATCTTGCTGAATCGATCAACAAACACAAGATTACCAGTATTCTTGTGAGCGGCTCTGGAATACCCGAAGACGAAATTCATCGATACGGACTGCCAAAACCCTGTTGGAATCGGTAGAGGCTGCAAGGGCGCAGGGGATGAAGGACTAGGCTTCACCCGTTGACAAACTTTGCAAGCACGAATGCATTTGCGCAGAAACTCATACTGGCGAGGCCAGTAGAAGTCACGACTTAACGCGAGGTAAGTCTTTTCTCTACCCCGATGCCCACTTGTTGGGGCATCGTGACACTCATACATGATGTGCAATCGCAAATCATCATGAGCGGGAACGACAACACGAGGTGTGTCGCCGTTGACTGCTGTATAGTACGACAGTCCATATCCAACCAAATACCGTTCGATTAAAAATCCATACTGAGACGTCAAGCTTTTCAAAGATTGACTGCATGGATTGGCTGCATTATCCACTAACCCCGTAAGGGACTCATCATCTGCGAATGCTTTCCGCACGTTGTCGAGCAGACTCGACGACGGAACACTCACTGTTAGTGTTGAAACAGTAGGATCACCCAGACTGTTGGGTTGAGCAGTCGGCTCAAAATCGAGCCGACGCGAGCGAGCATCAGCGACGATATTACGTCGTCCTAGTTTACACTCGACGGAGAAGTTGTACTACGCGAGGAAAGACAGCCACATCGACATTCGTTGTGAGAGGTGTGGACTGTTTACGGCCGTGCGTAATGACGCATGGTCGGTATAAACGATGAAGGGCCTATCTCCTAAGAGATACACCCGAAACTTAGCCAGTGTATATTTCATGGTAAGGAGTTCCTTATCATGCACTGGGTAATTACGCTCAGCTGCTTGCAGCTGACGCGATTAATAACAGACGACGCGCTCAAGATTGCAGGTTGACCGTTGCTGTCGCCAACACTTATCGTGATACTGATCACGCCAGGTAAATGTTAGCCACATATATTGCTGTAGTAGCCGACAATGATGCCAGGTCCATAGGAAGACGCAAGATTATGAGAGGAAACAATGCATGTCAGTGAGAGTGGTTAACACGTCAATTTATTTGTCAGTTCACAACTACCATCACAGTACGCAAGTACAAGTACAACCAGCAGCGAAGAGTCGACTGCTGAGCTGGAGAACTTCGGCGCGCATAAAGCTAGAGAGCGGCCGCGTCGCTAGCGGACAAAAGGTTATGAGCATAAACGATGAGCATGAAGATGATGGCGTCTTATCGCCAATGAGAAACCTCGCTACCCCGTTTAAAGATATATGACCCTTGACTCCCGACGGAACCGGAGGGCCTCAACTTCCATCTTCGTCATCATAGCAACAGACACCGACGGCCCCAGATGCTCTTATGGATATAATGCAACTCATCGCAACTTTGCAACAAGAAGTTCGCGAGTTGAGGGCACAAGCCCACGCATCGAAGCAAACCGACTCAAATTTGACAATGCACACCGCCTCACCGGGCGACATCTTCCGCAGTATATCGGCCAGTTGGTGCACCCAAGTTGAAGGACTTCAAGGTCATTGAGTTCACCGGAGAAGAGCAACACTCAGTGCTTGAAGCAGATTGGGACTCGTTCAAGTATCAATTTGATGTGCAGATACAAACGCTTGAGACCTTCGATCTTGTAGTCTGCAATGAAGAGCACCAACTGAGCACTATGGCGATGTGCTTTCGCGGTGCAGCCGTTAGGCATATCAACTACCTTGCGGATCGAGGACTTACTGTAACGGGGCACCCTGAAGCTTGTACTGGTGACAGTACAAGCTACTTATTCTGATAACAGAATAAGGCGGTGCCTCGTAACTTCACGTACACTCGTACGTGCAGAGGAAGACGGTAAGAAGAAGCGAGTACTCGGTTAGAGTAAAAGTAGAACTGTATTTATAATAGTTAATGTCTGCAATAAATCACTATTTATCTTCATCTAACTATGTCTAAATACAAATGTGTAAATCAGTTATCTGCTCACCACTCATTGCGTGCGTCTGTCGTGGCGCGTCTTCGTTGGTTGATATAATGGCCTATATCAATCAATTAGGAACTACTTGGAAGTGCTACAGAATATTGTCCTTATGACAATATTCTGAGAATATAACTCTTATAGTTATATTCTATTAACAATTTCTTATAAATTGTTATGTAACGATTCACCCCGTTACATCACCCCCCTTAACCATCAGTCACTTTAGTGACTGATTGACTAAATGGATACTCGTCCCAAATCATTTGGGACGGGGTTTTCACTTGTTGGTCCGCGCCCACTTTCCAACATCTCATCGCATGGTAAACAAGCCCATGCGATGCGCGAGCAAGGCCGCCGAGAGCGCGTCTGCACGTCTCTGTGCGGACGCCGAAGCAGCGAAACTACAGCAACTGATATCCCATCGGTTGCTGAATCGACTCAGCCTGTGTCACCTGGTGATGCAGGCGCTGGTCATGAAGACACTCGTGTCTTCACAGAGTACGAGCTCGGTGTCTCGTACTCTCCTGATACGGATGACGGATCCGTATCGACGGCAATTGAATCCAAGCCGCCTGCCAAGCGTGGCATGGACGATGCTTTGCGTCGCAGCATCTTTGGTTCATCTGATGAGTCAGATGAACCATCGCCGAACGAAGGCGCTCGAGGTCGCGAGACTCGGGCGCTAATAGTGGTGTCGTTTCTCCAATGGACACCACTTCACAGCGAGGTGCCAGTACTTCTGTCGGCACGTCGCAGGAAGAGCGGGACCGCAATGTGTTGCGTCTCGCTCCAGAAAAGAAGGCATGGATGCCTCCTAAATCTGTCATGGATCACTTGTCGGCGACGACGAGTGATCGTTATCGAACACGATTGTTCGATTCGTCAGAGATTCATCACCTTGACCCCAGCGCGAAAGACTATCGCGCTGAACATGAGTTCTTCATCGATGCTTTCTTCAGACATCGATGGTACAGTGGGAATCACAAACGTGATGGTCCCTCACTACTTCAGGCGTGGAACGCCTACATCCATAATCTCGAGGATGTAGGTCGTGACGCTTGGAACGACAAACTTATCAAAGCTCGTGATAAGTTTGAAAAGCGAACCCCGACAGGTGCACGCTATAAGCTGCATCGTCTGTCAAGGGAGAAAGGATTACCCTGCCTCTCTTGGGGAGACTCGTGCCCATGTTGTGTGAACAACTCTGCACGAGCACCTAAGGAGGCTTACCTCCTTACCAGCCCGTGGTGGCGCGTACGTGTCTCTACTGAGATGTACGAAGGGATTGACAACCTGAAATCCCTTTACGACCGTGCCGGGAAGACTTTCTCCGGCGGTCCTTCTGCGGCACAGGATGTGTCGCGTCGTACTGCTCGACCAGACCCAGTACGTCAACCATCAATTGGGAGCGGGGCTCCCAAGAATCCCAGGACGGGGGATAGCCGCGCCACCGGACGAGGTAACTCGTCCGACGTCCGTTCACGTCGCGGTGGTTCAACAGCTGCTCTACTAGATGGCGCTGGCCACCGCGAGAGTCCTCTAATGGAGGTGGAGGAGGAGGAAAGACGCTCTCCACACGATCATGTGGATCGGTGTGTTCCCGAGAGCTTCTTTGATCGCGTAACGCAAGGGTTACGCGACGATCTCGAGCATGAGCGGAATAGGCGTCTCCAGATGGTGGACACTGCCTCGAAGCATCGAGCTGAGTTTGCCTTTGCTCAGCTTGAGAACGAGAGATCTCTGACATCTCTTCGTGACGAGCTAAGGGTAGCTCGTGGGATTGTTGATCGGTCTCGGGCTGAGATAACTGCTCTTCAGACCCTTGTTGATGCCCACCATCAGGAGCACAAGGCTCTCTGCGAGATGCTTGAGCGCAAGGGCGTTCTTCATCGGAAGAAGCAGCGTACTGATGGTACGGCTTAAGCCGACCAACGTAAAACGTGGGATGCGTTCGCATCTTACGTGGTAACTCGATCGTGTATGCATTGCCTAGGCGGTGCAATACACGAAATGGGCCAATGTACTTGGGTAGTAGTTTACTGCTACCCAAGTTAGTCACTACATGTTTTGGTAGATTAACCGTAGACAGTAGGACTAAGTCACCTTTATTAAATAAAGAGTGTTTGCCCTTCCATTCTTGTCAGCGTTTTGCTTTTGCTTATCCACCGCTTCGGCGATGGAGTCTTGCACAAAACGGACTACCGTTTCACGAGCCAGTATGAACTCATCTGATGACTCGTTAGCTTCAGTGTGCTGTGAGCGCACTGCAGCGACAACAACCTTTTCTTCAGTGAGGGCTTCCGCACTCTCACTGGGATCATTGTCTTCAGTGAGGGCTTCCGCACTCTCACTGGCATCATCTTCTTCGATATCGATGTTATCGATATCGGCATCAAACGCAATGACTTCTTCGTCAGAGCGTGATGAGCGTGAACCAAATCGGTTTTTGCTCGCGCGAGTCCCTCCCCCCTTAAACCAGAGTTACACTCTAGTAAAGGTGGGTACACGCGGATGGCGCAAGCCATTCACGTAAAACGGTGTATGTGTCGTGGACGCATGCACCGAGTTGTTGATGGCAAACTCTACCATCGGCAAAAACTCACTCCAACTCTTAAAAGTGTACGTATCCTCGAAGTATCTCTTCAAGGACACGATTGGCACGTTCCGTCTGACCATCTGACTCTGGATGATCAGATGTTGACATCTTCAAGCGCGTTCCGAGTGATTTGAACACGGAACGCCAGAAATCAACAGTGAATCGTGGATCTCTGTCTGATACGAGTTCACGGGGCAACCCATGAAGTCGGAAGATGGTGTCAATAAAGACACAAGCACAGCCACTTGCCGTGATTGTCTCTGGTACAGCCACAAGGTGTACCATTTTGCTGAATCTGTCAACAAATACGAGAATACCCGTATTCCCGCGTGCGTCTTTGGGTAACCCGAAGACGAAATCCATTGAGATGGATTCCCAGCACTCAGCCGGAACCGGTAGAGGCTGTAAAGGTGCACGCAGTGAAGGACTTGACTTCACTCGTTGGCAGACTTCGCATGCGCGAACATACTTTCGCACAAACTGATACTGGCGGGGCCAGTAAAAGTCTCGACTTACCGTGAGATATGTTTTCTCTCGGCCACGATGTCCTCCTATAGGAGCATCGTGATACTCGAACATGATCCGCAAACGCAGATCAGTATCATCTGGAATGACAACACGTGGTGTGTCACCAGAAACGGCTGTATAGTACAGTAAACCGTTACGAGTAGTGTATCGATCTGATGCAGATCGATACGCAGACGACAATCGTTTCAACGATTCTCGAGATGGTTGGGAGAGATGTGACAACAACTTCACTATCTCACCATCTTGGGCGTATGCCCGCCTCACATCATCATACAACGTTGTAGATGGAACTGAGGACGTCATAACCGCAACAGTGACTGTCTCACTGTTGGGTTTCGCGACTGTTTCAAAGTCGGGACGACGTGAGAGTGCATCAGCGACGACATTAAGTCGTCCTGGTTTGTACTCGACCGTAAAGTTGTATTCTGCAAAGAATGACAACCACCGCGCCATTCGTTGTGAAAGGTGCGGGCTGTTCACTGCCGTGCGTAAGGACGCATGGTCAGTGTAAACAACGAAGGGTCTATCTCTAATAGATAGACTCTGAACTTCGCGAGTGCATACTTCATGGCAAGGAGTTCCTTGTCATGCACTGGATAGTTCCGCTCAGCTGGTTGCAGCTGACGCGACTGATAGCAGACGACGCGTTCAACGCCTTCAAGGTCGTACTGCATTAATGCACAGCCGATTGCGAAATCGCTGGCATCACAGACCACATGAAATGGCCTGTCCTGATCGGCTATTGCTAGGACTGGGGATTGTATCAAGCTCTGCTTGATACCCTCAAAAGAGCGTTGACATTCAGCGTTCCATAACCACCTCTCGTTCTTTTTCAACAAACGAGAGAGGTGTACAGTCATCTCGGCGTAATTGCGTGAATACTTATGCAAATACGCCGCTAGATAAGGAATTTTCGAAGACCTTTGACATCGACCGGCACGGGCCAGTCGGTGATCGCCTTGATCTTTTCGGGATCAGGACGTACACCGTTCTTACCAACGATGCACCCAAGAAGTGGTATTTCGCTTGCTGCAAATATACACTTCTTGAGGTTTCATACAATTGATGCTTTCGCATGATTGTAAGAACTTGTCGGACGTGGTACTTGTGAACCTCAACGTCCGACTTTCCATCCATAGCTCGACTATGGATGAATACGTCATCGAAATAACTCGGCGCGAATTCTCGTACTGGCCTCAACAGATGTGATACACACCTGTTGAACGTGGCAGGGGCATTACTGAGCCCTTGTGGCATTACTAGCCATTCCCAGAGCATGCCGCTAGGCGTGCTAACTGCGGTATAGGGTATATCCCGTTCCCGCATTAGGATTTGATAGAAGCCATCCATCAAATCCATGGACGAAAAGATGGTACTCTTTGACATACCATCAATGATTACGTCCTTCCTCGGTATCGGCGTCTGAGCCGGTACCGTTGCAGCGTTCAATTTGTTAAACGCGTGCACTATCCGCCACCCTCCTGTTGCTTTTCGCACACAGAAGGTCGGAGAGCTATGTGGGGAAGTTGATTCCCTCACATGGCCCGCTGCTAAACGATCGGCAAAGAACTTGTCGATCGCAAGTACTTGTTCACGAGGCAGTGGCCACTGCTTCATGACACAGTACTTCGAGCCTGGTTTAAGCTCGACTTCGTGTCGAATACCTTTATCCTTCGGTAATTCGCACGGAACAGTTTCAGGGAATACATCCTTGAATTCAACCAAATCTTCATAGAGAGGATTTTCCTTGAGCGATTCCCATGATTGGGACTCATATCGCTCAATTCGTGTCTTTTCATCTAGGACACTCTCGTCCATAGATGAACTACTGAGAACTCTCTCGTTCTCAGTAAACACTGTTGCTGACCTTATGTCGGTTACATACTCGTCGTCAGCGACGAGTATGCAGATCTGCTTGACTTTGCCACTACGCAGATCACGCAAGAACCTTTTATGTTCGAGCGTTGGCAACTGAGTGATCTCCGAAGTTAACTTCGGAGGCGCAATCAGATCAAGTGTATAAGCGCCTACACATGATCCGTTATTGACTATGACATTCAATGTCTCTGTCATTTCCTGGGGACTTATTCCCTCAGGCTTCGAAGGACTTATTCCTTCGTCTTCCCGGGGACTTATTCCCGCGGGTTTCGGGGAACTTATTTCCGCCGTATTTGTAATCTTGGGACTTATTCCCTTTACTTCCTCTAGCTGGGGTTGCGCAACCACAGCGAGATCCTCTACGAAAGACTCTCCAGTCGATCTAGGATTATCGTTTCGCTTAACCTGAGCGATCGATTGTTTCTCTTCTAGATGTTCCCCTCTAGGGATACATCTTTGTCCCAGTCCACCCGACTTATTCGAGTGGTGGACCTTCAGCGCAGCCTGTGTTTCCTCACAGCCGCCGGAACTTTGCTCGAAGTGTAACCGTTTGGTACACTAAGGTTTTGTGCAGTCGTACTAACGACCGTACCACAAGTGAGGCCATCGCACTCACTCGTAGTACATCCACACGCTTGTGGACGCTCCAAAACGTTCATCAGATGGCCATCTGATGAACAAGCGGCAGAGCATCGTTACTGTCCGATGTTGCCAGTTTACCCGTGGTTCGTACCTTCTGAGCCACGGTATTCCAAGGATGACATCAAATTTGTCATCCAAATCCAATACGATAAAGTCATCGTCGTATTGGGTATCTTCTAGCGTATAGTGAATCTTCACTATACGCTTCATATTGATTACGGATGCGCCTGTCGCAAGACGTACCGTCATCCTCGTAGGAGGTGTGTCACATTCACTGAATTTAAAGTGACCATCTTCTAGCGATTGGCGTCGCACAAAATTGTTGGACGCCCCACAATCGACTAGAGCTCGAAGGGACAACTTATTCGTCACTTCGAGTTTCAAGAGTAATGAGTGAGATCTCATTACCTAGAGCAGCAACGCACAATGTCTGTGTGTTGGGAGCAACCTTCATCAAAGAGGCCTACAAATTCTCTTGACGTTGCTGGATCAGTAGGGTGCTCCGCACCTACTGATCCTGTCCGTTTTTGACGGTCCATCCCGTTGTTGCGTCTTTGCACCAACTGCGGACCCTCGTCCCTGCCCCTTTCTCATGGGTGGACGGTCACTACGCCCAGTGTCGCGAGACACTGGACGAGAGGCACTACACTCGTAAGCGTAGTGTCCTGTCTTTTGACATCTGTTGCATCTCTGCAACTTCTTGTAGCCTGTAGAGCGAGCCTTCTCGCTCTCTACATAACAGAGTTCCATCGGCTCTGGACCTCCGTTGTCATATCGTCTCGGTTGACGATATGATGTCGAGCTGGCGCGAGCCTGTCTCAGACTGAAGTCTTCCTGCTCCGCAATTGAAATGGCTTGTTCTAGTGAATCTAGTTCAAGCCGGAACAGGTGAGTCTTGACGGGACCATCCGCAAGACCCTGCATGAACACCGAAACCAACGTGTGTTCATCCACCGGATTGGAACTTATACAACTCGTGAGATGTCGTATATGTTGAGCGTAAGCGTGCACATCACGCTTACCCTGCTTGAGCTTCAAGAGTTCGGTTCGAGCTCTGAACTCAGCTCTAGGCAGTTCAAACGTTTGTCTGAGCCGCGACTTGAAAGAGACTTCCAACGACCCAAACGCATATGGGTCGTGCAGCTTGAGCCCCAGTGCCCAAGTCTTGGCACGTCCTGCCAGATTTGACTGGGCAAATGCAACTTGCATATCCCCGTCGTCGATGCGACGCGCCCTTATGGCGTCATCCAATTCGACGAACCATCTCAAGAGGAGTCTTCTTCGACCCCCTATACTTTGAGATGTCAATCTTCAAAGTCTCGGGCCGACGCGAGTGCATCGACCCGCCAGCAGCAGCCTGCTGCTGTCTCAACAGTTCAAACTGTTGAGCACCTTGTTCTCTCAACAACTCTGCTTGTTGAGAACCTTGTTGGTGAAGCAAGGCTACTTTCTCGCGTTCTGCGTCAAGTTCATTTTGAATGAACTTGGCGATAGTAGCATGTTGGGCATCTCTATTGAGAGCCTCTAGCATGACGCTAACAGCATGGATGCCCATGGTCGAACCCATTCGTTCAACCGCATCCCATTCGACATCGCTCAAATGGGAGTAGCCGTCACGCGTAGCGTGAAAGCTTTGGTCATCTTCATCATCCAACATATTCATGTTGGATGTGAACGCAGTCCTTGGACGGACTACGAAGTGCTACCAGGTGTAACGGGGCACCCTGAAGCTTGTACTGGTGACAGTACAAGCTACTTATTCTGATAACAGAATAAGGCGGTGCCTCGTAACTTCACGTACACTCGTACGTGCAGAGGAAGACGGTAAGAAGAAGCGAGTACTCGGTTAGAGTAAAAAGTAGAACTGTATTTATAATAGTTAATGTCTGCAATAAATCACTATTTATCTTCATCTAACTATGTCTAAATACAAATGTGTAAATCAGTTATCTGCTCACCACTCATTGCGTGCGTCTGTCGTGGCGCGTCTTCGTTGGTTGATATAATGGCCTATATCAATCAATTAGGAACTACTTGGAAGTGCTACAGAATATTGTCCTTATGACAATATTCTGAGAATATAACTCTTATAGTTATATTCTATTAACAATTTCTTATAAATTGTTATGTAACGATTCACCCCGTTACACTTACTGCCAACTATGACAGTGTCTGCAGGTCCATGAAGAATCGCTTTTTCTGTAAGCTAAGCCAGTGTCAACTGGGAAAGCTACTTGAAGAACCCGAGAGAACAGACACAACATGGACATCTCATATCGAGTACATGAGAGATGTGGCTAGCCGCATGGATGGTAACCCGAGTAAGATTATCCTTGAATACTTTTGCTTATACTCTTGCCCATCATAGGAGAGAAGCTTGCTGGCGAAGATTGATCAAGACAGCTCGGAGTACGGGACCAAGCTCGAGAAAGCTACTCGATACCTGACATTAATCACAGGTAACGGAAAAGGATTCGTCTGTAAGCCAAAGGGGGCGACGAACCTGTACGACCTAGCTAAAAGAGACAAATCGAAGTTTGAAAAGAACCAGCGTATGTCAAGGCAAGCTGGTGATGCGTTCAGTGCAGGAGGAGCCAAGAAGTATCCTAAGCGTGCATGTTTCTTCTGTGAGGATGAGGGACACGTTGCTACAACATGCCCACTCAAGAAGGAGTTTCTGGAGAAGAAGAAACGATCTATGGGTTCAGCTAATGTGGTGGGGGCATCTCTTGAGATCAACAAGACTGGTGATAAAGAACTGTCAGTACGCATCATGCTGGGCAGCGTTCAGAGGCATCAGTAATGAACGAGAATGGTTGCTGGACTCAGGCGCTAGTCATCACATATGCGGTACCGAATTTGCTCTGCAAAACGAGTATGCATGCAATCTGTCCGTAACTATCGCAGATGGACGCACCATCCAGTCTACTACGTGTGGTCACATCGTGATGGAGGTAGATGTCAACAGAATTCAAACCAATATTCTATTGCAAGACGTACACGTGATTCCAGGTTTGCGCAAAAATTTGCTATCAATTGGTCAACTTGCAAAGAAAGGTATTCGTACCTCATTCACTAAGCAATGCGCATCACTGTACAACTTTGACGACACTGAAGTCAAATATTCTGTTGGCTGCGCCACGTGGAACAATGGACTTTGCTACCTTAATGGGCATGCAATCGCTTCAGCTGTTGCGAGCGTCGCAGCAAAACCTAACGACAGCATCATGGAATGGCATGCTCGACTCGGCCATGTTAACGTTGAGGGTGTGGCGATGATTAAGAATTATGACCTTGCTGATGGTCTACACATCACTGACAAGAAGCGAAGTGATTGTGATGCATGTCGCGAGGGGAAACAAACAAGAAGCGTTAAGCGCAAACAGACACTTCCGAATTTTCACCAACGGATGAGATTGGCGCCTTCACTGGAGTTGACATCAAGACAAACGTCAAACCGCACGATTACAAAGGCTACACTCACTCTTTATATGTTGTCGACTACGCGTCTAGCTATGGAGAAGTATTTCCGATGCGTGCTAAGTCCGACTGGTTCCGTTGCCGACAGAATTCATTTTAAGATTCGAGCGACAATACGACGTGCGAGTGAAGGTCATTCGGAGTGACATTGAATTTGACACGAACGAGATAAGGTCAGGTGTGCAAAACGCGGTATCCGACAGCAACTAACGGAACCAGACAAATCGTCTTTCAATGGAAAGGTGGAGAGGCGTCACAGGACTTTGTTTGACGGCATGCGGGCTATGATGTTTGATGCTGCTCAGGCTTCTCGCTTCCTATGGTCGGAAGCACTACGACATCAGTCATGGTTATGAAACCGACTCCCGACACGCTCAAACGGCGGGAACAAGTCGCCTATTGAAGCTCTCACTGGACACAAGCCCAAACTTAGTAGCGTACTAAAGTGGGAACAAACAGTCACGGTTCATGTCAAGAGCAAGTCGATGGGAACACGGAAGAAGTGTGAGCACGGCATATTCATCGGGTATGATGACAAGGTCAAGGGAAATTGCGTGTTCGTCAAACGCATCAAAAAGATTTTGGTATCGCAGCATGTCCAGTCGATAAACTCGGCCAAGAAGAGTATCGACAAGGATTAAAAAGCTTTAGATGATGTACTCATCGACAACTTCTCTGACGCAGAGAGCATTCCGAGTCCAAGTGAATATGGATTGAGCGTTTCTGGTAACATCGAAATTGAGGATGACTTACACACTGGTGTAAATCAATCGCTGGCAGTATGACGCGAGCGTCGTCATGTCAACATGCCTTCTCGATATGTTGATGGTGCCAAAGTGGTGGTTGTGCGAGTCAAAGAGCCAAGGTCTGTCAAAGAAGCCATGACTCTTCCTGAAGGCAAAACTATATCGATGCGATGTAGGCAGATCTCGATGCACTCGTCGAAAATGGCACTTGGGAGGTTGTCGATGTTCCAAAGAAGGGTACAAACATTGTCGACAGCAAATGGGTTTTGAAGATCAAGTTTGATGCCGATGGTGACGTTGAGCGCTTTAAGGCAAGACTTGTTGCCCGAGGGTTTAGCCAGAAGTACGGCGTTTGTAACGGGGTGAATCGTTACATAACAATTTATAAGAAATTGTTAATAGAATATAACTATAAGAGTTATATTCTCAGAATATTGTCATAAGGACAATATTCGGTAGCACTTCCAAGTAGTTCCTAATTGGTTGATATAGGCCATTATATCAACCAACGAAGACGCGCCACGACAGACGCACGCAATGAGTGGTGAGCAGATAACTGATTTACACATTTGTATTTAGACATAGTTAGATGAAGATAAATAGTGATTTATTGCAGACATTAACTATTATAAATACAGTTCTACTTTTACTCTAACCGAGTACTCGCTTCTTCTTACCGTCTTCCTCTGCACGTACGAGTGTACGTGAAGTTACGAGGCACCGCCTTATTCTGTTATCAGAATAAGTAGCTTGTACTGTCACCAGTACAAGCTTCAGGAGTGCCCCGTTACACCTGGTAGCACTTCGTAGTCCGTCCAAGGACCGCGTTCACATCCAACATGAATATGTTGGATGATGAAGATGACCAAAGCTTTCACGCTACGCGTGACGGCTACTCCCATTTGAGCGATGTCGAATGGGATGCGGTTGAACGAATGGGTTCGACCATGGGCATCCATGCTGTTAGCGTCATGCTAGAGGCTCTCAATAGAGATGCCCAACATGCTACTATCGCCAAGTTCATTCAAAATGAACTTGACGCAGAACGCGAGAAAGTAGCCTTGCTTCACCAACAAGGTTCTCAACAAGCAGGGTTGTTGAGAGAACAAGGTGCTCAACAGTTTGAACTGTTGAGACAGCAGCAGGCTGCTGCTGGCGGGTCGATGCACTCGCGTCGGCCCGAGACTTTGAAGATTGACATCTCAAAGTATAGGGGGTCGAAGAAGACTCCCTCTTGAGATGGTTCGTCGAATTGGATGACGCCATAAGGGCGCGTCGCATCGACGACGGGGATATGCAAGTTGCATTTGCCCAGTCAAATCTGGCAGGACGTGCCAAGACTTGGGCACTGGGGCTCAAGCTGCACGACCCATACGCGTTTGGGTCGTTGGAAGTCTTCAAGTCGCGGCTCAGACAAACGTTTGAACCGCCTAGAGCTGAGTTCAGAGCTCGAACCGAACTCTTGAAGCTCAAGCAGGGTAAGCGTGATGTGCACGCTTACGCTCAACATATACGACATCTCACGAGTTGTATAAGTTCCAATCCGGTGGATGAACACACGTTGGTTTCGGTGTTCATGCAGGGTCTTGCGGATGGTCCCGTCAAGACTCACCTGTTCCGGCTTGAACTAGATTCACTAGAACAAGCCATTTCAATTGCGGAGCAGGAAGACTTCAGTCTGAGACAGGCTCGCGCCAGCTCGACATCATATCGTCAACCGAGACGATATGACAACGGAGGTCCAGAGCCGATGGAACTCTGTTATGTAGAGAGCGAGAAGGCTCGCTCTACAGGCTACAAGAAGTTGCAGAGATGCAACAGATGTCAAAAGACAGGACACTACGCTTACGAGTGTAGTGCCCCTCGTCCAGTGTCTCGCGACACTGGGCGTAGTGACCGTCCACCCATGAGAAAGGGGCAGGGACGAGGGTCCGCAGTTGGTGCAAAGACGCAACAACGGGATGGACCGTAAAAAAACGGACAGGATCAGTAGGTGCGGAGCACCCTACTGATCCAGCAACGTCAAGAGAATTTGTAGGCCTCTTGATGAAGGTTGCTCCCAACACACAGACATTGTGCGTTGCTGCTCTAGGTAATGAGATCTCACTCATTACCTTGAAACTCGAAGTGACGAATAAGTTGTCCCTTCGAGCTCTAGTCGATTGTGGGGCGTCCAACAATTTTGTGCGACGCCAATCGCTGAAGATGGTCACTTTAAATTCAGTGAATGTGACACACCTCCTACGAGGATGACGGTACGTCTTGCGACAGGCGCATCCGTAACCGTCATGAAGCGTATAGTGAAGATTCACTATACGCTAGAAGATACCCAATACGACGATGACTTTATCGTATTGGATTTGGATGACAAATTTGATGTCATCCTTGGAATACCGTGGCTCAGAAGGTACGAACCACGGGTAAACTGGCAACATCGGACAGTAACGATGCCTGCCGCTTGTTCATCAGATGGCCATCTGATGAACGTTTTGGAGCGTCCACAAGCGTGTGGATGTACTACGAGTGAGTGCGATGGCCTCACTTGTGGTACGGTCGTTAGTACGACTGCACAAAACCTTAGTGTACCAAACGGTTACACTTCGGAGCAAAGTTCCGGCGGCTGTGAGGAAACACAGGCTGCGCCGAAGGTCCACCACTCGAATAAGTCGGGTGGACTGGGACAAAGATGTATCCCTAGAGGGGAACATCTAGAAGAGAAACAATCGATCGCTCAGGTTAAGCGAAACGATAATCCTAGATCGACTGGAGAGTCTTTCGTAGAGGATCTCGCTGTGGTTGCGCAACCCCAGCTAGAGGAAGTGAAGGGAATAAGTCCCAAGATTACAAATACGGCGGAAATAAGTTCCCCGAAACCCGCGGGAATAAGTCCCCGGGAAGACGAAGGAATAAGTCCTTCGAAGCCTGAGGGAATAAGTCCCCAGGAAATGACAGAGACATTGAATGTCATAGTCAATAACGGATCATGTGTAGGCGCTTATACACTTGATCTGATTGCGCCTCCGAAGTTAACTTCGGGAGATCACTCAGTTGCCAACGCTCGAACATAAAAGGTTCTTGCGTGATCTGCGTAGTGGCAAAGTCAAGCAGATCTGCATACTCGTCGCTGACGACGAGTATGTAACCGACATAAGGTCAGCAACAGTGTTTACTGAGAACGAGAGAGTTCTCAGTAGTTCATCTATGGACGAGAGTGCCCTAGATGAAAAGACACGAATTGAGCGATATGAGTCCCAATCATGGGAATCGCTCAAGGAAAATCCTCTCTATGAAGATTTGGTTGAATTCAAGGATGTATTCCCTGAAACTGTTCCGTGCGAATTACCGAAGGATAAAGGTATTCGACACGAAGTCGAGCTTAAACCAGGCTCGAAGTACTGTGTCATGAAGCAGTGGCCACTGCCTCGTGAACAAGTACTTGCGATCGACAAGTTCTTTGCCGATCGTTTAGCAGCGGGCCATGTGAGGGAATCAACTTCCCCACATAGCTCTCCGACCTTCTGTGTGCGAAAAGCAACAGGAGGGTGGCGGATAGTGCACGCGTTCAACAAATTGAACGCTGCAACGGTACCGGCTCAGACGCCGATACCGAGGAAGGACGTAATCATTGATGGTATGTCAAAGAGTACCATCTTTTCGTCCATGGATTTGATGGATGGCTTCTATCAAAATCTAATGCGGGAACGGGATATACCCTATACCGCAGTTAGCACGCCTAGCGGCATGCTCTGGGAATGGCTAGTAATGCCACAAGGGCTCAGTAATGCCCCTGCCACGTTCAACAGGTGTGTATCACATCTGTTGAGGCCAGTACGAGAATTCGCGCCGAGTTATTTCGATGACGTATTCATCCATAGTCGAGCTATGGATGGAAAGTCGGACGTTGAGGTTCACAAGTACCACGTCCGACAAGTTCTTACAATCATGCGAAAGCATCAATTGTATGCAAACCTCAAGAAGTGTATATTTGCAGCAAGCGAAATACCACTTCTTGGGTGCATCGTTGGTAAGAACGGTGTACGTCCTGATCCCGAAAAGATCAAGGCGATCACCGACTGGCCCGTGCCGGTCGATGTCAAAGGTCTTCGAAAATTCCTTGGGCTAGCGGCGTATTTGCATAAGTATTCACGCAATTACGCCGAGATGACTGTACACCTCTCTCGTTTGTTGAAAAAGAACGAGAGGTGGTTATGGAACGGTGAATGTCAACGCTCCTTTGAGGGTATCAAGCAGAGCTTGATACAATCCCCAGTCCTAGCAATAGCCGATCAGGACAGGCCATTTCATGTGGTCTGTGATGCCAGCGATTTCGCAATCGGCTGTGCATTAATGCAGTACGACCTTGAAGGCGTTGAACGCGTCGTCTGCTATCAGTCGCGTCAGCTGCAACCAGCTGAGCGGAACTATCCAGTGCATGACAAGGAACTCCTTGCCATGAAGTATGCACTCGCGAAGTTCAGAGTCTATCTATTAGGAGATAGACCCTTCGTTGTTTACACTGACCATGCGTCCTTACGCACGGCAGTGAACAGCCCGCACCTTTCACAACGAATGGCGCGGTGGTTGTCATTCTTTGCAGAATACAACTTTACGGTCGAGTACAAACCAGGACGACTTAATGTCGTCGCTGATGCCACTCTCACGTCGTCCCGACTTTGAAACAGTCGCGAAACCCAACAGTGAGACAGTCACTGTTGCGGTTATGACGTCCTCAGTTCCATCTACAACGTTGTATGATGATGTGAGGCGGGCATACGCCCAAGATGGTGAGATAGTGAAGTTGTTGTCACATCTCTCCCAACCATCTCGAGAATCGTTGAAACGATTGTCGTCTGCGTATCGATCTGCATCAGATCGATACACTACTCGTAACGGTTTACTGTACTATACAGCCGTTTCTGGTGACACACCACGTGTTGTCATTCCAGATGATACTGATCTGCGTTTGCGGATCATGTTCGAGTATCACGATGCTCCTATAGGAGGACATCGTGGCCGAGAGAAAACATATCTCACGGTAAGTCGAGACTTTTACTGGCCCCGCCAGTATCAGTTTGTGCGAAAGTATGTTCGCGCATGCGAAGTCTGCCAACGAGTGAAGTCAAGTCCTTCACTGCGTGCACCTTTACAGCCTCTACCGGTTCCGGCTGAGTGCTGGGAATCCATCTCAATGGATTTCGTCTTCGGGTTACCCAAAGACGCACGCGGGAATACGGGTATTCTCGTATTTGTTGACAGATTCAGCAAAATGGTACACCTTGTGGCTGTACCAGAGACAATCACGGCAAGTGGCTGTGCTTGTGTCTTTATTGACACCATCTTCCGACTTCATGGGTTGCCCCGTGAACTCGTATCAGACAGAGATCCACGATTCACTGCTGATTTCTGGCGTTCCGTGTTCAAATCACTCGGAACGCGCTTGAAGATGTCAACATCTGATCATCCAGAGTCAGATGGTCAGACGGAACGTGCCAATCGTGTCCTTGAAGAGATACTTCGAGGATACGTACACTCCTTTAAGAGTTGGAGTGAGTTTTTGCCGATGGTAGAGTTTGCCATCAACAACTCGGTGCATGCGTCCACGACACATACACCGTTTTACGTGAATGGCTTGCGCCATCCGCGTGTACCCACCTTACTAGAGTGTAACTCTGGTTTAAGGGGGGAGGGACTCGCGCGAGCAAAAACCGATTTGGTTCACGCTCATCACGCTCTGACGAAGAAGTCATTGCGTTTGATGCCGATATCGATAACATCGATATCGAAGAAGATGATGCCAGTGAGAGTGCGGAAGCCCTCACTGAAGACAATGATCCCAGTGAGAGTGCGGAAGCCCTCACTGAAGAAAAGGTTGTTGTCGCTGCAGTGCGCTCACAGCACACTGAAGCTAACGAGTCATCAGATGAGTTCATACTGGCTCGTGAAACGGTAGTCCGTTTTGTGCAAGACTCCATCGCCGAAGCGGTGGATAAGCAAAAAGCAAAACGCTGACAAGAATGGAAGGGCAAACACTCTTTTATTTAATAAAGGTGACTTAGTCCTACTGTCTACGGTTAATCTACCAAAACATGTAGTGACTAACTTGGGTAGCAGTAAACTACTACCCAAGTACATTGGCCCATTTCGTGTATTGCACCGCCTAGGCAATGCATACACGATCGAGTTACCACGTAAGATGCGAACGCATCCCACGTTTTACGTTGGTCGGCTTAAGCCGTACCATCAGTACGCTGCTTCTTCCGATGAAGAACGCCCTTGCGCTCAAGCATCTCGCAGAGAGCCTTGTGCTCCCGATGGTGGGCATCAACAAGGGTCTGAAGAGCAGTTATCTCAGCCCGAGACCGATCAACAATCCCACGAGTTACCTTTAGCTCGTCACGAAGAGATGTCAGAGATCTATCGTTCTCAAGCTGAGCAAAGGCAAACTCAGCTCGATGCTTCGAGGCAGTGTCCACCATCTGGAGACGCCTATTCCGCTCATGCTCGAGATCGTCGCGTAACCCTTGCGTTACGCGATCAAAGAAGCTCTCGGGAACACACCGATCCACATGATCGTGTGGAGAGCGTCTTTCCTCCTCCTCCACCTCCATTAGAGGACTCTCGCGGTGGCCAGCGCTATCTAGTAGAGCAGCTGTTGAACCACCGCGACGTGAACGGACGTCGGACGAGTTACCTCGTCCGGTGGCGCGGCTATCCCCCGTCCTGGGATTCTTGGGAGCCCCGCTCCCAATTGATGGTTGACGTACTGGGTCTGGTCGAGCAGTACGACGCGACACATCCTGTGCCGCAGAAGGACCGCCGGAGAAAGTCTTCCCGGCACGGTCGTAAAGGGATTTCAGGTTGTCAATCCCTTCGTACATCTCAGTAGAGACACGTACGCGCCACCACGGGCTGGTAAGGAGGTAAGCCTCCTTAGGTGCTCGTGCAGAGTTGTTCACACAACATGGGCACGAGTCTCCCCAAGAGAGGCAGGGTAATCCTTTCTCCCTTGACAGACGATGCAGCTTATAGCGTGCACCTGTCGGGGTTCGCTTTTCAAACTTATCACGAGCTTTGATAAGTTTGTCGTTCCAAGCGTCACGACCTACATCCTCGAGATTATGGATGTAGGCGTTCCACGCCTGAAGTAGTGAGGGACCATCACGTTTGTGATTCCCACTGTACCATCGATGTCTGAAGAAAGCATCGATGAAGAACTCATGTTCAGCGCGATAGTCTTTCGCGCTGGGGTCAAGGTGATGAATCCTCGACGAATCGAACAATCGTGTTCGATAACGATCACTCGTCGTCGCCGACAAGTGATCCATGACAGATTTAGGAGGCATCCATGCCTTCTTTTCTGGAGCGAGACGCAACACATTGCGGTCCCGCTCTTCCTGCGACGTGCCGACAGAAGTACTGGCACCTCGCTGTGAAGTGGTGTCCATTGGAGAAACGACACCACTATTAGCGCCCGAGTCTCGCGACCTCGAGCGCCTTCGCTTCGGCGATGGTTCATCTGACTCATCAGATGAACCAAAGATGCTGCGACGCAAAGCATCGTCCATGCCACGCTTGGCAGGCGGCTTGGATTCAATTGCCGTCGATACGGATCCGTCATCCGTATCAGGAGAGTACGAGACACCGAGCTCGTACTCTGTGAAGACACGAGTGTCTTCATGACCAGCGCCTGCATCACCAGGTGATACAGGCTGAGTCGATTCAGCAACCGATGGGACATCAGTTGCTGTAGTTTCTGCTTCGGCGTCCGCACAGAGACGTGCAGACGCGCTCTCGGCGGCCTTGCTCGCGCATCGCATGGGCTTGTTTACCATGCGATGAGATGTTGGAAAGTGGACGCGGACCAACAAGTGCAAACCCCGTCCCAAATGATTTGGGACGAGTATCCATTTAGTCAATCAGTCACTAAAGTGACTGATGGTTAAGGGGGTGATGTAACGGGGTGAATCGTTACATAACAATTTATAAGAAATTGTTAATAGAATATAACTATAAGAGTTATATTCTCAGAATATTGTCATAAGGACAATATTCGGTAGCACTTCCAAGTAGTTCCTAATTGGTTGATATAGGCCATTATATCAACCAACGAAGACGCGCCACGACAGACGCACGCAATGAGTGGTGAGCAGATAACTGATTTACACATTTGTATTTAGACATAGTTAGATGAAGATAAATAGTGATTTATTGCAGACATTAACTATTATAAATACAGTTCTACTTTTTACTCTAACCGAGTACTCGCTTCTTCTTACCGTCTTCCTCTGCACGTACGAGTGTACGTGAAGTTACGAGGCACCGCCTTATTCTGTTATCAGAATAAGTAGCTTGTACTGTCACCAGTACAAGCTTCAGGGTGCCCCGTTACAGCGTTAATTTCTCGGAGACACTTGCACCGGTGATCTAAATGAGCAGCGTGCGTCTATTTTTTGCATTATCAAGCTTGATTGGACTGCGACTGACTCATGGCGACGTTCCTAATGCCTACATGAAAGGTTTACTGCACGAACTCATCTACATGAAGTCACCCAGGGAGCTGGGCGTCGAGGCGGGCAAGGTACTCAAGCTGCTAAAGCCATTGTATGGACTTAAACAGTCGGTTCGCTGCTGGAATGGGACAATGAACGAGAACATCATCACACTTGGTTTTATCAATTCAAGACTCGACCCGTGCATCTACTACAAGCGCGGAAAAAAGGAGCGGGTGATGTTCCTTGGACTTTACGTGGATGATGTGCTGATCGCGTTTCATGACGAGGAGGAGCTGCACGATGTTACACTGAATCTGGAAGAGCGCTACAGCATCAAGATGCTCGGGCCAGTGAAGAAATTTCTTGGTATCGCAGTGCACGAGACCTCGCGAAGTAATTATCTCAGCAGAGCATGATATGTGACGCACTCCGCGCATTCAATCTTGGACATGTCAGGACTGTCACGACTCCAATGGATCCTAACACAGACTATAATGAAACTGACAGGGAAGAACTAGTGGACCTACATCGCGTACGTGAGGCTCTCGGTACTCTTCTTTGGATTGCAAATTTTACTCGCCCGGACATAGCGTAGGCTACAAACCTTGCGTCAAGACACCGCGATAAGCCTCGTAAGTGCCATTGGTAGCTGATCAAACGGATTTTTTGCTATCTCAAGGGCACATCAGATTGTAAATTGCGCTACTGGAAGACAATTGAGGCTGTTTCAGTTGAAAACCTCGAGGTCAAGATTTGGTCCGATGCTGATTGGGCTGATGATCGAGTCGACCGAAAATCAACGAGCGGCGCCTTCCTTGAATTAAATTGTCGGCCGATAGCGTGGAGTGCAAAGAAGCAAGCCGTTGTTGCGATGTCCACTACGAAAGCAGAGTTCATTGCCGGTGCGACGAGTGTCTGAGTGTGGATGGATCAGGCAGCTTCTTCAAGAGCTGCTTCACATCGAAATTGTCCCAAGTATCATGGTTGACAACCAAAGCGCGATACGAACGATGAAAAACGAGATGGTGTCATCTGCTGCATAGCACATTGCTTTAAGATATCACTTCATCAAGGATGAAACTAGCAAAGGACGCGTGAGTGTGAAAAGGTGTGTTAGTAAGGACCAGCTTGCAGATATTCTGACTAAGGCGCTCCCGCGTCAAAGATAGAAGGAGCTGAGATGCCAACTTCAGGTGGCGAAGCGCGAGTTGCAAGGTGAGTAGCTCATCACGGTCAGGAGGAGTGTTGCAGGTTGACCGTTGCTGTCGCCAACACTTATCGTGATACTGATCACGCCAGGTAAATGTTAGCCACATATATTGCTGTAGTAGCCGATAATGATGCCAGGTCCATAGGAAGACGCAAGATTATGAGAGGAAACAATGCATGTCAGTGAGAGTGGTTAACACGTCAATTTATTTGTCAGTTCACAACTACCATCACAGTACGCAAGTACAAGTACAACCAGAAGCGAAGAGTCGACTGCTGAGCTGGAGAACTCCGGCGCGCATAAAGCTAGAGAGCGGACGCGTCGCTAACGGATAAAACTCAACGCCGTATGAGTCGTACTGCATTAACGCGCAGCCTATTTCAAAATCGCTGGCGTCACAGACCACATGGAATGGTATGTCCTGGTCTGCAATCGCCATCACAGGCGATTGTATCAAGCGTTTCTTGATACCTTCAAAATAGTGCTGACACTCAGCACTCCATGAACGCCTCTCGTTTTTCTTAAACAAACAAAAGAGACGTACGGTCATCTCGGCGTAGTTGCGCGAGTACTTGTGCAAGTACGCCGCCAAGTCAAGGAGCTTTCGAAGTCCTTTGAAGCCAACTGGCACAGGCCAGTTGCTACTCGCATTGATCTTTTCTGGATCAGGGCGTACGCCATTTTTACCCACGATGCAGCCAAGAAGTAGTAATTCGTTAGCTGCGAATATACACTTCTTGAAGTTCGCGAACAACTTTTGCTCTCACGTAAGTGTAAGAACCTTTCGGACGTGGATTCTACGAACCTCCACGTCCGTCTTTCCATCCATAGCCCGGCTATAGACAAAGACATAGTCGCAGTAACTTCGTGCAAAATTGCGCACCGATCGCAACAGATCAGTAAAACATCTGTTGAACGTTGCAGGGCCGTTGCTTAGCCCTTGTGGCATCACTAGCCAATCCCAGACCATACGACTGGGGTCGCTCACTGCTGTGTACGGGAACTCTTTTCCATCACATGTGAGGATCTGAAAGAATTTATCCATCAGATCCATGGACGAAAAGACGGTACTCTTTGCCATACCATCTATGATGACGCCCTTCCTCGGTATCGCCGTTTGGCCGGTACCGTTGCAGCGTTCAATTTGTTGAGCGCGTGCACTATTTGCCACTCTCCTGTGGCCTTTCGCACACAGGAGGTCGGAGAGCTGTGTGGAAATGTTGATTCCCTCACATGACCAGACGCTGGCGATCGTCAAAGATTTGTCGATCGCAAGTACCTGTTAACGAGGCAGTGTCCACTGCTTCATGACATATTATTTCGAACCGGGTTTCAGTTTGATCTCATGCCTAGTGCCTTTGTCCTTGGGCAGCTCGCATAGCACGGATGCCGGTAAACATCCCTGAATTCCACCAAATCACTATACAAAGTATTTGTCTTCGAAGAAAAAAATCAGATAAAGACGCGTATCGCTCAATTCGGGTATTCTCATCGAGGACACTCTCGTCCATCGACGAGCTACTGAAAACCCGTTCGTTCTCAGCAAACACGTGTGCCGACCGAATATCGGCGACGTACTCGTCCTCTGTGACAAGTACGAAGATCTTCTTGATCTTGTCACGACGCAGATCTCGCAAGAATCTTTTGGATTCTAGCGTTGGCAACTTGACTACCTCCGATTCTAAATTCGGAGGCACAACCAGATCAAGTGTAAAAGCGCCTGCACTCGATCCGTCATTCAGCAAGACATTAGATGCCTCGGTGCTTTCCTGGGGAAAAACACCTGCAGGTGGTTGAAGAAAAATAACATTAACCAATGATCATCGAGAGTTATCACTCTCACGAACGCTGGAACTTATTCCATCACGTGTAATGACTGTGAGTGTACTACCACGATCACGTCATCTTCGATCGACTCTCTTTCAGTCTATCGGGCTTGCTCTATGATCGACTCACTGCTAGTCGATCTTGCTTCAACGTGTTGTTTATTCTGAACAACACATATCTCTCTTCTCGGATGCACCTTCTTGGTGTGCATCCGTGTTCCGGTCCACTCGATCTCTTTGAGTGGTGGACCTATGGTTCAGCATGTGTCTCTACACAGGTGCCGGAAGCTGGTTCCACAGTGTAGTGGCCTTCTGCACTGTGATCTTGTGCAATCGTACGAACGACCGTGCCACAAGTGAGGCCATCACACTCACTCGTAGTACATCCACACGCTTGTGGACGCTCCAAAACGTTCATCAGATGGCCATCTGATGAACAAGCGGCAGGCATCGTTACTGTTCGATGTTGCCAGTTTACTCGTGGTTCGTACCTTCTGAGCCACGGTATTCCAAGGATGACATCAAATTTGTCATCCAAATCCAATACGATAAATTCATTGTCATATTGGGTATCTTCTAGCGTATAGTGGATCTTCACTATACGCTTCATGACGGTTACGGATGCACCTGTAGCAAGGCACACAGTCTTCCTCGTTGGATGGAACTCTAGCTCAGCACAGTTGAGTCTACTATCGTCTAGCAACTGGCGTCGAATTAAACTATTCGACGCCCCACAGTCAACTAGGGCGCGAAGTGACATTCCACTTTTCACTTCGATCTTCAGAGTGATGAGTGACACCTCATCGCTAGGAGCAGTGACACACAGCGACTGTGTGTTAAGAGCAATCTTTGAAAAGAGTCCTGCAAATTCTCTTGACGATTGCTGGTTTTGCAAGGTACGCCGCCCCTACTGACCTTTTCCGTTTTTTGGCGGTCCAACTTGCTGTCGCGGTTTAGCGACATGGTAATACCCGCGCCTTGACCATTCCTCGGACAGCGGCGGTCATCACTTCCTGTCTTCGGACGTGTTGCGGTGCTCGGGACACTACACCCATGAGCGTAGTGTCCAATCTTCTGCCAGCGATGGCATCTTGCCGTTCGCTTGTGACTCAGAGAGCGAGAGTTCTCGCTCTCGATGTAACAGAGGTACAATGGTTCGGGACCTCCTGGTTCCAGTCGTCTTGTCGTAAGATAGTTTAAAGAGTTAGCCTGCGAATGTCTCCGGCTGAAGTCTTCTTGTTCCGCATACGCTGTCGCCTTTTCCAGCGTATGGAATTCCTCTTAGACTGTTGGTCTCGACCGATCCATCTTTAAGACCGTAGATGAAACGCTGATGGGTGTGTGCTCATCAGGGTATTTCGTGACGTCACTAATAAGGTAGCGTAGCTGTTTTTGAATAAGCATGCACATCACGCTTACCTTGCTTGAGCCCTAAGGCGTAATTCTTTGCTCGTCCTGTCAAATTTGACAGGGCGAAGGTGACTTACATCTCGTCACCCTCGATGTGACCGGCCCTGATAGCATCGTCTAACTCGACGAACCATCTCAAAAGGAAATCTTCATCGGTTCCCTTAAACCTTAAAATATCAATCTTTAAGGTTTCAGGTCACGCGTGTGTGTCGGCTCGCCCATCGACTGATGAGAGCCATGCTGTTGTAGTAAGTGTATCTTCTGTTTTTCGACGGCAAGTTCCCGTTGTAGGAACTTGTGATAGCGGCATGTTGTTGGTCTCGGCTTGGAGACTCCAACATGCCACTGATGGCGGGTTCGCCCATGAGCACACTCATGCGGCCGACTACCTCCCATTCTGAGTCACTCGGATGGGAGTAGACTTCACCTGTGACGTGAAAGCTGTCGTCTTCTACGTCCAACATGAACATGTTGGACGGACACTAAGTAGTCGTTGGATGGACTACAAAGTGCTACCAGGTGTAACGGGGCACCCTTTGTCTGAGGTGCCATGAAGCTTCACGTACACCAGTACGTGCAGAGGAAGCTAATTTACTCAACGACTATGTTGAGTAAAGGGTAAAAAGGGAACTGCATTTAATACAATTAATCTATCAATATAACTTCAGTCATTAGCGAGCTATATTAAACAACGTCGTCGTATGACGACAACCTGCTCACCACTCATTGCGCGCGTCTAGCAGCGATTGGTGGTAATTTATGGTTAGTATGTCTTTTATCAACCGATTTAAGGCAGCGCATGAATATTATCCAAAAGTGGATAATATTCCTTCAATATTATCCATCTCGGATAATATTGGTAGAATATTGTCATGCTTGACAATCTCCCTATTGAGACCGTTTGGTGTCAACATCATGTAACGGGCTACCCCGTTATACCAAAAAATGGTCTTTGAGCATTAGAGACACTTTAAAGGTGTGCCCGTCCCAATTTGTGGTGCTATCTCCGTCCAGAACCCTGTTTCCGAGCCCTTCCGAATCTCTGGCACCGAAATCATGCCGCAGTGAAAATAGACCATTTAGCGCATGGAATAGATTCTAGATAGGCTTAAATTTGTACTGCGTAAATAGTTGGGCTTCGAATTTCAGACTCACTCTCGGAGGGTCTGAAAACAGGTTTTCTATAAGTGCAGGCCCAAATTTGATATGCCTACGGCAATCTAGGCGAACTTGCGGGACGTTAAGAATATGCAAGTTTAGTATAGCATCCACGGAAAATTTCGGGCCGTCCAAATTTTTCGAATTACACGCGGTACTGTATCCCTTGGGGTATCATTTTTACCCCTAGTATGCTGGCCCACGCCTGTGGGCTCACAGCACAATTTTACGGGGTTTGCATCACAGCGCGCCACTGTATGTTTGTGGTGGTGAATATCTTTGATTTAGGTTCAAATGAAAGGAACTGCGGTAGGTATGTGCATGCAGGACCACATTATAATTTACACGTATATTTGAATATTCAAAAATTGTGTGATACGTACCAATATTCCAGGCACTTAAATCGTGTAAATTCAAATAAAACAAGGTTCTCACTAATATTTGTGAGGGCTGGCAAACCGAACGGTTAAAAAAATGTGGTGTACACTGATTGAGGTCGACAGTGTAGCTTCTCTTTTTTTATAAACGCCGCCTTGGTCACAGTCACTTCCATCTTTCTCTGCGTTTGATCCGGATCCAAATCGTCGGAGTTGTTACCGATTCGATCAAGGCAGTTGTAACAAGGTGAATCGTTACATAACAATTTATAAGAAATTGTTAATAGAATATAACTATAAGAGTTGTATTCTCAGAATATTGTCAGAAGGACAAATATTCTGAGCACTTACGAGTAGTTCCTAATTGGTTGATATAGGCCATTATATCAACTAACGAAGACGCGCCACGACAGACGCACGCAATGAGTGGTGAGCAGATAGTTGATATACACATTTGTATTTAGACATAGTTAGATGAGGATAAACAGGGAGTTTATTACAGGCATTAACTATTATAAATACAGTTCTACTTTTTACTTTAGCCAAGTACTCGCTTCTTCTTACCGTCTTCCTCTGCACGTACGAGTGTACGTGAAGTTCCGAGGCACCGCCTTATTCTGTTATCAGAATAAGTAGCTTGTACTGTCACCAGTACAAGCTTCAGGGTGCCCCGTTACACCTGGTAGCACTTCGTAGTCCGTCCAAGGACCACGTTCACATCTAACATGAATATGTTGGATGATGAAGATGACCAAAGCTTTCACGCTACGCGTGACGGCTACTCCCATTTGAGCGATGTCGAATGGGATGCGGTTGAACGGATGGGTTCAACCATGGGCATCCATGCTGTTAGCGTCATGCTAGAGGCTCTCAATAGAGATGCCCAACATGCTACTATCGCCAAGTTCATTCAAAATGAACTTGACACTGAACGCGAGAAAGTAGCCTTACTTCACCAACAAGGTTCTCAACAAGCAGAGTTGTTGAGAGAACAGGGTGTTCAACATTTGGACTGTTGAGACAGCAGCAGGCTGCTGCTGGTGGGTCGATGCACTCGCGTCGACCCGAGACCTTGAAGATTGACATCTCCGAGTATAGGGGGGTCGAAGAAGACTCCCTCTTGAGATGGTTCGTCGAATTGGATGACGCCATAAGGGAGCGTCGCATCGACGACGGGGATATGCAAGTTGCATTTGCCCAATCATATCTGGCAGGACGTGCCAAGACTTGGGCACTGGGGCTCAAGTTGCACGACCCATATGCGTTTGGGTCGTTGGAAGTCTTCAAGTCGCGGCTCAGACAAACGTTGAAACCGCCAAGAGCTGAGTTCAGAGCTCGAACCGAACTCTTGAAGCTCAAGCAAGGTAAGCGTGATGTGCATGCTTACGCGCAACATTTACGACATCTCACGAGTTGTATAAGTTCCAATCCAGTGGATGAACACACGTTGGTTTCGGTGTTCATGCAGGGTCTTGCGGATGGTCCCGTCAAGACTCACCTGTTCCGGCTTGAACTAGATTTACTAGAACAAGCCATTTCCATTGCGGAACAGGAAGACTTTAGTCTGAGACAGGCTCGCGCCAGCTCGACATCATATCGTCAACCGAGACGATATGACAGCGGAGGTCCAGAGCCGATGGAACTCTGTTATGTAGAGAGCGAGAAGGCTCGCTCTACAGACTACAAGAAGTTGCAGAAATGCAACAGATGTCAAAAGACAGGACACTACGCTTACGAGCGTAGTGCCCCTCGTCCAGTGTCTCGCAACACTGGGCGTAGTGACCGTCCACCCATGAGAAAGGGGCAGGGAAGAGGGTACGCTGTTGGTGCAAAGACGCAACAACGGGATGGACCGTCAAAAAAGGGACAGGATCAGTAGGTGCGGAGCACCCTACTGGTCCAGCAACGTCAAGAGAATTTGCAGTCCTCTTGATGAAGGTTGCTCCCAACACACAAACATTGTGCGTTGCTGCTCTAGGTAATGAGATCTCACTCACTACCTTGAAACTCGAAGTGACGAATAAGTTGTCCATTCGAGCTCTAGTCTATTGTGGGGCGTCTAACAATTTTGTGCGACGCCAATCGCTAGAATATGGTCATTTCAAGTTTGTTGAAGTGACACACCTCCTACGAGGATGACGGTACGTCTTTCGACAGGCGCATCCGTAACCGTCATGAAGCGTATAGTGAAGATCCACTATACGCTAGAAGATACCCAATATGGTGATGACTTTATCGTATTGGATTTGGATGACAAATTTGATGTCATCCTTGGAATACCGTGGCTCAGAAGGTACAAACCACGAGTAAACTGACAACATCGAACAGAAACGATGCCTGCCACTTGTTCATCAGATGGCCATCTGATGAACGTTTTGGAGCGTCCACAAGCGGGTGGATGTACTATGAGTGAGTGCGAAGGCCTCACTTGTGGTACAGTCGTTAGTACGACTGCAAAAAACCTTAGTGTAAAAACAGTTACACTTCGGAGCAAAGTTCCGGCGGCTGTGAGGAAACACAGGCTGCGCCGAAGGTCCACCACTCGAATCAGTCGAGTGGACCGGGACAAAGATGTATCCCTAGCGGGGAACATCTAGAAGAGAAACAATCGATCGCTCAGGCTAAGCGAAACGATAATCCTAGATCGACTGGAGAGTCTTTCGTAGAGGATCTCGCTGTGTTTGCGCAACCCCAGCTAGAGGAAGTTAAGGGAATAATTCCCGAGATTACAAATACGGTGGAAATAAGTTCCCCGAAACCCGAGGGAATAAGTCCCCGGGAAGCCGAAGGAAAATGTCCTTCGAGGCCTGAGGGAATAAGTCCCCAGGAAATGACAGAGACAATGAATGTCCTAGTTAATAACGGATCAATTGTCGGCGCCTATACAATTGATCTGATTGCGCCTCCGAAGTTGACTTCGGAGATCACTCAGTTGCCAACGCTCAAACATAAAAGGTTCTTGCGTGATCTACGTAGTGGCAAAGTCAAGCAGATCTGCGTACTCGTCGCTGACGACGAGTGTGTAGCCGACATAAGGTCAGCAACAATGTTTACTGAGAACGAGAGAGTTCTCAGTAGTTCATCTATGGACGAGAGTGTCCTCGATGAAAAGACACGAGTTGAGCGGTATGACTCCCAATCGTGGGAATCGCTCAAGACAAATCCTATCTATGAAGATTTGGTTGAATTCAAGGATGTATTCCCTGAAACTGTTCCGTGCGAATTACCGAAGGATAAAAAAAAGGTATTCGACACGAGGTCGAGCTTAAACCAGGCTCGAAGTACTGTATCATGTAGCAGTGGCCACTGCCTCGTGAACAAGTACTTGCGATCGACAAGTTTTTTGCCGATCGTTTAGCTGCGGGCCATGTGAGGGAATCAACTTCCCCACATAGCTCTCCGACCTTCTGTGTGTGAAAAGCAACAGGATGGTGGCGGATAGTGCATGCATTTAACAAGTTGAATGCTGCAACGGTACCGGCTCAGACGCCGATACCGAGGAAGGACGTAATCATTGATGGTATGTCAAAGAGTACCATCTTTTCGTCCATGGATTTGATGGATGGCTTCTATCAAATCCTTATGCGAAAACGGGATATACCCTATACCGCAGTTAGCACGCCTAGCGGCATGCTCTGGGAATGGCTAGTGATGCCACAAGGGCTTAGTAATGCCCCTGCCACGTTCAACAGATGTGTATCACATCTGTTGAGACCAGTACGAGAATTCGCGCCGAGTTATTTCGATGACGTATTCATCCATAGTCGGGCTATAGATGGAAAGTCGGATGTTGAGGCTCACAGGTACCACGTCCGACAGGTTCTTACAATCATGCGAAAGCATCAATTGTATGCAAACCTCAAGAAGTGTATATTTGCAGCAAGCGAAATACCGCTTCTTGGGTTTATGTGCGTTGGTAAGAACGGTGTACGTCCTGATCCCGAAAAGATCAAGGCGATCACCGACTGGCCTGTGCCGGTTGATGTCAAAGGTCTTCGAAAATTCCTTGGGCTAGCGGCGTATTTGCATAAGTATTCACGCAATTACGCCGAGATGACTGTACACCTCTCTCGTTTGTTGAAAAAGAACGAGAGGTGGTTATGGAACGCTGAATGTCAGCGCTCCTTTGATGGTATCAAGCAGAGCTTGATATAATCCCCAGTCCTAGCAATAGCCGATCAGGACAGGCCATTTCATGTGGTCTGTGATGCCAGCGATTTCGCAATCGGCTGTGCATTAATGCAGTACGATCTTGAAGGCGTTGAATGCGTCGTCTGCTATCAGTCGCGTCAGCTGCAACCAGCTGAGCGGAACTATCCAGTGCATGACAAGGAACTCCTTGCCATGAAGTACGTACTCGCGAAGTTCAGAGTCTATCTATTAGGAGATAGACCCTTCATTGTTTACACTGACCATGCGTTATTACGCACGGCAGTGAACAGCCCGCACCTTTCACAACGAATGGCGCGGTGATTGCCATTCTTTGCAGAATACAACTTTACGGTCGATATACATACCAGGACGACTTAACGTCGTCGCTGATGCACTCTCACGTCGTCCCGGCTTTGAACCAGTCGTGAAACCCAACAGTGAGACAGTCATTGTTGCGGTTATGACGTCCTCAGTCCCATCTACAACGTTGTATGATGATGTGAGGCGGGCATACGCCCAAGATGGTGAGATTGCGAAGTTGTTGACACATCTCTCACAGCCATCTCGAGAATCGTTGAAACGATTGTCGTCTGCGTATCGATCTGCATCAGATCGATACACTACTCGCAACGGGTTACTGTATTATACAGCCGTTTCTGGTGACACACCACGTGTTGTCATTCCAGATGATACTGATCTGCGTTTGCGGATCATGTTCGAGTATCACGATGCTCCTATAGAAGGAAATTGTTTCAGACAGAGATCCACGCTTCACAGCTGATTTCTGGCGTTCCGTGTTCATATCACTCGGAACGCGCTTGAAGATGTCGACATCTGATCATCCAGAGTCAGATGGTCAGACGGAACGTGCCAATCGTGTCCTTGAAGAGATACTTCGAGGATACGTACACTCCTTTAAGAGTTGGAGTGAGTTTTTGCCGATGGTAGAGTTTGCCATTAACAACTCGGTGCATGCGTCCACGACACATACACCGTTTTACGTGAATGGCTTGCGCCATCCGCGTGTACCCACCTTACTAGAGTGTAACTCTGGTTTAAGGGGGGAAGGGACTCGCGCGAGCAAAAAAGCGATTTGGTTCACGCTCATCACGCTCTGACGGAGAGGTCATTGCGTTTGATGCCGATATCGATAGCATCGATATCGAAGAAGATGATGCCAGCGAGAGTGCGGAAGCCCTCACTGAAGAAAAGGTTGATGTTGCTGCAGTGCACTCACAGCGCACTGAAGCTAACGAGTCACCAGACGAGTTCATACTGGCTCGTGAAACGGTAGTCCGTTTGTGCAAGACTCCATCGCCGCAGAGTTGTATAAGCAAAAGCAAAACGCAGGCCACAATGGAAGGGCAAACACTCTTTTATTTAATAAAGGTGACTTAGTCCTACTGTCTACGATTAATCTACCAAAGCATGTAGTGACTAACTTGGGTAGTAGTAAACTACTACCCAAGTACATCGGCCCATTTCGTGTATTGCATCGCCTAGGCAATGCATACACGATCGAATTGCCACGTGAGATGCGAAAGCATCCCGCATTTTACGTTGGTCGGCTTAAGCCGTACCATCAGTACGCTGTTTCTTCCAATGAAGAACGCCCTTGCGTTCAATCATCTCACAGAGGGCCTTGTGCTCCCGATGGTGGGCACCGACAAGGGTCTGAAGAGCAGTTATCTCATCCCGAGACCGATCAACAATCCCACGAGTTACCTTTAGCTCGTCACGAAGAGATGTCAGAGATCTATCGTTCTCGAGCTGAGCAAAGGCAAACTCAGCTCGATGCTTCAAGGCAGTGTCCGCCATTTGGAGACGCCTATTCCGCTCATGCTCGAGATCGTCGCGTAACCCTTGCGTTACGCGATCAAAGAAGCTCTCGGGAACACACCGATCCACATGATCGTGTGGAGAGCGTCTTTCCTCCTCCTCCACCTCCATTAGAGGACTCTCGCGGTGGCCAGCGCTATCTAGTTGAGCACTGTTGAACCACCGCGACGTGAACGGACGTCGGACGAGTTATCTTGTCCGGTGGCGCGGCTATCCCCCGTCCTGGGATTCTTGGGAGCCCCGCTCCCAACTGATGATCGACGTACTGGGTCTGGTTGAGCAGTACGACGCGGCACATCCTGTGCCGCAGAAGGACCGCCGGAGAAAGCCTTCCCGGCACGGTCGCAAAGGGATTTCAGGTTGTCAATCCCTTCGTACATCTCAGTAGAGATACGTACGCGCCACCACGGGATCGTAAGGAGGTAAGCCTCCTTAGGTGCTCGTGCAGAGTTGTTCACACAACATGGGCACGAAACTCCCCAAGAGAGGCAGGGTAATCCCTTCTCCCTTAACAGACGATGTAGCTTGTAGCGTGCACCTGTCGGGGTTCTCTTTTCAAACTTATCACGAGCTTTGATAAGTTTGTCGTTCCAAGCGTCACGACCTACATCCTCAAGGTTATGGATGTAGGCGTTCCACGCTTGAAGCAGTGGGGGACCATCACGTTTGTGATTCCCACTGTACCATCGATGTCTAAAGAAAGCATCGATAAAGAATTGATTCTCAGCGCGATAGTTTTTCGCGCTGGGGTCAAGGTGATGGATCCTTGACGAATCGAACAACCGTGTTCGATAATGATCACTCGTCGTCGCCGACAAGTGATCCATGACAGATTTTGGAGGCATCCACGCCTTCTTCTCGGGAGCGAGACGCAAGACATTGCGATCCCGCTCTTCCTGCGATGTGCCGACAGAAGTACTGGCACCTCGTTGCGAAGTGGTGTCCATAGGAGAACCGACAGCACTGTTAGCGCCCGAGTTTCGTGACCTCGAGCGCCTTCGCTTCGGCGATGGTTCATCTGATGAATCAGATGAACCAAAGATGCTGCGACGCAAAGCATCGTCCATGCCACGCTTGGCAGGCGGCTTGGATTCGATCGCCGTCGATACGGATCCGTCTTCCGTATCAGGAGAGTATGAGACACCGAGCTCATACTCTGTGAAGACATGAGTGTCTTCATGACCAGCGCCTGCATCACCAAGTGACACAGGCTGAGTCGCTTCAGCAACCGATGATACATCAGTTGCTGTGGTTTCTGCTTCGGCGTCCGCACAGAGACGTGCGGACGCGCTCTCGGCGGCCTTGCTCGCGCATCGCATGGGCTTGTTAGCCATGCAATGAGATGTTGGGAAGTGGACTCGGACCAACAAGTGCAAACCCCGTCCCAAATGATTTGGGACGAGTATCCATTTAGTCAATCAGTCACTAAAGTGACTGATGGTTAAGGGAGGGGGTGATGTAACGGGGTGAATCGTTACATAACAATTTATAAGAAATTGTTAATAGAATATAACTATAAGAGTTATATTCTCAGAATATTGTCAGAAGGGCAAATATTCTGAGCACTTACGAGTAGTTCCTAATTGGTTGATATAGACCATTATATCAACCAACGAAGACGCGCCACGACAGACGCACGCAATGAGTGGTGAGCAGATAGTTGATATACACATTTGTATTTAGACATAGTTAGATGAGGATAAACAGGGGGTTTATTACAGGCATTAACTATTATAAATACAGTTCTACTTTTTACTTTAGCCAAGCACTCGCTTCTTCTTACCGTCTTCCTCTGCACGTACGAGTGTACGTGAAGTTCCAAGGCACCGCCTTATTCTGTTATCAGAATAAGTAGCTTGTACTGTCACCAGTACAAGCTTCAGGGTGCCCCGTTACAGCAGTGGCCTCACCAGCTTTTCTGAGAAATATCAGATGCTACAAAATGGACTTGCACGGCGAGCGCACGTACAATATTGGTATCGACTTCCAAGCGTGGCAATGGCCACCATTGTCCTTAATGGACCGAGAAGTGTTGCGCACTTCGTCAGTGCGAAATGATCTGGAAATAAGAGCCAAGAAGGTAAAATGTGGCGTGCTTTTTTAGAACTGAGTATGTAGCGGGAACAGCTCCTAATAATGTAAGAGAAGTAAAGCAGCAGCTTGTCTCCATATTCTTATTTCACTGCCGCTTTTTGTGCGTGCTTAAATGACTTGTCTTAATTAGGCTCATGTCAAGCAAAAGCCTTTACGACGGTAAGTAATGATAAATCCTTACCTGTCAGCATCTCCTATCACAGAAAACGCCTATGCGCGCCCACGTTAGAGAGGATACCGAAGAACGTGCAGCTGCTGGTAAAGTGCGTCATAGAAAGACGCACATCAATATGGCGACTGTACGTTCCAGGATTAAATCGTAGCATTTGACAAAAAAAGCACTTGTTTTGTCCACCTCAAAGGTCGTTTGCAGGGCGGTTCTGATAAGGTCCTTTGACGATGGAGCGAAATTGTCATTAAAGTCAGTCAGTCGCACTCCACTTTAATAACACTTAATCGCCGTCTAAAGTACCGAACCACAGGCGCCACGCTGATGCGACTTGGCCTCGAGTCAACGTGCGATACTGTACAGACCTCTACTGTGCGTCCGGAGACTATCATATCGTCTCGCTCATCTGCCTGTAGTCCCATTGTCGTCGACGATGACGACACGTACGACTCGACTGTCGACGACACAAAGCCCCAATTCGCTCGCGCCCATTACGATATTGACCGACCATCACTCTTAAACTTTACAGTTAAGAACGTTCGTAACGGCCGTACCAGTTCGAATACGAACAATGAGCCTGCAGGTGGTACACGACAAAACGAAGAGCCACTACAGTTGGAGAGCATCAGCGAAAGAAGCTTCAAACACGACACAAAGGGCATGAGCACTAACAAATCGCCCGAGCTGCTTCCGAAACAGAACCACCTCAGCTTTCTCTTCAGTGTGAACACCGACGCTGCACGTACACAGCAGCAGCACAGAAGAGATCGCGCCGTCGCTGCCCGTTCAAGCCGCAACAGCAGTCGTCAGACGACAAGGGAGCGACGAAACGTCATCGTAGCTACTCGAACGAGCGTTTGTGGTGAGAGGTTTGACCGCAGCGAGCTGGAGTTCCGCAGGGATCGAGTGCAGGTGACGATCTGGAAGAGGGACGAGCGACAGTGGCAAGGCGATGTCAAGTTCGCGCACATTCGACGCTTTTGGTACGTGATTTGACAAGCAGCAGAGCCATAAGGACCAACTGCTGACTGTGATGTACGTTTTCTGCGGCTTTTTTGTTTGCTGGGTATCGTTCTTTTTGTGTGTGTGGCTGTTAGTTTCTCTCAAGCGGATGGTCCACCATTTATCCTGCTGTTACAGCTTGACAACGCGAACGGCCGATCAAGCTTTGCTCATTTCTACGACCCGTTTTTTGCCAAAGTCTGGAAAGAGCACGATACGAAAGAGCAAGCGGCATTGAGTACGCTAGTCATGTTTCTGTTAGGCATCTTGTTTAGCTGCTGGAGGTGGCTGTAAGTGATGATGGTTGTTATGTCCGAGCAGGAATGTATGGCGTTGTCTTTTATTTTGACGAAGCGATCGACTACATGCGCTGTCAAAGTATGGCTGATGGCAATCCGAGCCTGTCACGCTTTTTCAGTGTGAAATTGTCGTAAGTTGTGGGGCAGACTTGTTGGTGTGATTAGTCTGATGGGTCTGTGCTGTTACGAATGATTTGGGAGCAGAGAGGATGAACGACGAACATACTTGAGTTTAGACGCGTCGAAGCTATTGCGTCACTGGCACAGCAGCGAGATAAACGCCAGCATATCCACTGATGCTCGGAACCAAAGTTTCGCGGAGTTGGTTGGCAAAGGTGCCAAACAGGCTCTTGGTAGTATGACTTCCTTCTTTCGTCCTGTCGCTCGCTCATCTGTCTTGGAAGACGACGATAGTGTATCTGTCGCTCGGGGCCGTGATGGCCATAGTCAAGGTGGGATGCTACATTTGTCGCGACGCAACACCGATGTATGCTCTTCTCATCTCGATGAGGAAAAGTTGCCAGTGCCAGTTGACGTAAATGGCACTGACAAGCGAGATCGTGGACTAGATGTTGATAACACTGATGCTCTTGCGGTCAGTACAGCATGCGGCACGTTCGGCAGTGAACAAACCTTGATAACCACGTTGTCATCTCACCTGCAGCACGATATGAAGCAGAGCAAAAAAGTGGAAAGTAAGACAAGAGAAGCAGAAAGTTGTCGGGAAACTGAAAGGTTGAAACGGAGAAGGATTGAAAGTCGTCGCGATGAGGTTCTGCTCGAATACCCGTACGATGGATCAGATACGCTGGGAAAGATTCGGGTGACGCTCGGCGATGTAGACCGACTTCTTCCTGGGGAGTTTCTGAACGACAATCTGATCGATTTCTATCTCAGGTAAGTCTTCCACTGTTACAATTACAGGTCATTATGCTCGATGTAACGTGAAGTACTTCGGTCAGATTTCTTTGGCGGCACTTGGACTCGCTGCAGCAGCAGCAAATGTATTTTTTCACCTCACACTTTTTTTCTCAATTAAATGGCACTAATGGTGCCCACGAATTATCTACAGCTGCTCCGGATGAACGCTTCGCTCGAGTGGCTCGCTGGACACACAAGGAGACAAATCTATTTGATAAGCGGTTTTTATTTATTCCCATTAACGACAGGTACAGCTAGCTCTTGATCGGCTAAAAGTGGGTGTGAGGCGACTAAGTGCGAGCGTTGTTTTGTCGTGTTCTTTGTTTCGCAGTTTCCATTGGAGTATTGCCATTATTTGTAACCCAGGCTCCGCTATAATTAAAAAGCATCATAAGGTAAAGCGTTGTCACCGAGGGATCAAGGGAGCACCAAATTCGGGTCAAGAAAGGTCGTTGGTGGATTTGGTGAACGGTAGCAGTGAGATTGATGTGGGTCGTGAGAGCTCAGGCGTCGGAAGTGCCGACTACAGCATTGTTTCCAGCGAGTTCGTAGAAGAGGAGTTACAGTCGTGTCAAGCTGATCGGCTGGCGTATCCTCCTTGCCTCTTGTTTCTGGATTCTCTTCGGTGCCATCGAAAGAAGAAGTTTTCGAAAATGCTGCGAAACTATTTGGAGTGTGAATATAAAGCCCGTTTTGCTTCCAGCTCTACTGACGCCATTTCGCAACGAGGAAGCATGGTTGGTGCTGATATGGATAACGAGCAGGACCGTGTCATCACGGTTTTTGATCCGGACAGCATTGTTCTGCATGAACCGAATGTAAGCTATATTACTTTTGAAGATTTTATGCTAATGATTGCTTATTTATTTACACCGATTACACGTGTCAGATCCCGCTGCAGACGAACAGCTCAGACTGCGGAGTTTTTCTTCTTATGTACGCGGTCTTAGTGGTGCGTCTATTTCCGTTTGGAGTGACTCGTGCAGACCTGGAGAGCAACATGGCGTCGACGTTAACACCGAACATGTTCTGCGAAGAGCATGTTCTGGAGTTCCGGGAGTACCTGCAGCAAGTACTCTTTTGTCTGCAACTTCTGGAAAAACACGGACGTCCAGAGCAAAGTATAAAGGATGAGGGGCTTGAGTCGTTTGCCATCGAGTAAAGGCTGGCGTTGATAGTAAAGTGCTTCGTGCACTTCGTCACTGGTAACCAGCTGTGGAGAAGTTTACAATAAAATGTTGGGGTCGACGATTTGCACCCTACGGAGAAGGTGTGGATTGCGCAGCTGCGCACGAAATGTATCATGGTCACGCAAGTTACATGGCAGGAACGTTATCAGCTGAGATTTTATGTTCAGGTGTTGACGTCATTAGCGTCGGAGGTTTCGAACATGGCAGGGACGTTGTCAGCTGGGATTATATGTTCAGGTGTCGACGGCCATTAGCGTCGGAGGCTTCGTACCGTGAAGTTCTGTTGGCCTTGAAATTATACCTGAAGGTCGACGTTCTCCGGTTCCGGATTATTGACAAGCAGAGATCCAGCGGTGGTATCGATGCTTTTGATCGACGAGAATGCTTTGGTTGTGTGACTCTATCGGATCTCTTTGACATCACGAAGAGGAATGACACGTTTTCGCTTGGTGTAGCAGCCCGCTGTGCTTCCGTTGCTGTTCTTGCCACACGTGTTCGTGTCGAGGTCTGTCGGCAGTCCAGGCGATACACAGCTTTATAAGTTTAGGTTCAACAAAGTGGTGTAAGAAGCCGTCGACCTCTCGGACCCGTGTATGACGGCAGGAAAGCCACGAGACAGCAGTTGCTCTCGATGGCTTCCATCGTGTTGAAACCAGCGTCACTTAACCATGGATGATCCAGCAAGTCGTGGACAGATATGCGATCGACGTCGTGTATCGTCAACATCTTTTCCAGTACGTCTTGTGTGGAGGTTACCTTTATGCCGCTGCTTAATTGTTTGATCGCTCAGGCAGCTCATGTCACGCACGTTTATCCCTGCGGAAAGTGATGGGTTTGCTGCAAAGCTGCCGCGGTTAAAATGCCGAAAGGGAATGCTCCGCAGAGCACCATGTACAGCACGATGCCTAGGCTGGACACGTCAGATTTGAGACCATATGGTTGGCCGCAAAGTATCAGGCGCCGCGTACTCTAGCGTGCCGCAGTCATGTTGAAGCATAGTATTCGGCTGCACATGCTGATTTGCGAGTCCGAATTCCGCGTCTCTTATATGTCGCCATGGAGTAGGATGTTTTCGGTTTGATATCGTGATGAAGCACACAATGGCATTGCAGATATGCAATTGTCATAACCACCTGCCGAATCATGCTTCGTGCTGTGAGTTCAGGCAGGTGCTGCAGCTTGATAAGCACATCACACATGTCGCATTGCAGATATGCAATTGTCATAAACACCTGCCGAATCATGCTTCGTGCTGTGAGTTCAGGCAGGTGCTGCAGCTTGATAAGCACATCACACAAGTCGCCGTCTTTCATGTTGTCCATGACCACAAAGTGGAGACTCTCGTTCCCTCGTACACGCCTTCCAGACTGGCCACGTCCGGGTGCGATAGAAAGTGAAGCAGTCGCTCTTCCTCTTGATGTGCCTGCGACAATTGGCAGCATTCTACTGCACACACGACGCCAGTTCTACGATAGACCGCACGATGAACAACGGAGAATGGGCATTCGTTAATTTGGTTTATGAGCGAATACTTGGATAAAACGCGCTGAACGTCTCAACAACAAACTCGACTGTGCTGGTTGCCTCGGAGGACAAGTTGCCGCACCTACAGTGCCGGCACTCCGTCGAGGTACCTTTGTAACTTCCTGGCCGCTACAGCCTGAATTGTGCGGCTTGAAAGACCCGAGAGATGCTGTCACCGTATTAGCATGTGGCTCTGCTTGCGGCGGTATGTCGACAGTATCTTGTTACTCAAATCAGCAAGAAGCGCATGGACCTTATCCGTTTCGGCGGACGCTTGGTTTATCTGCTAAAGCAATACAGGGAAGCACACGTATGAGCTGCTGACAGCTGAAAAACGTCGGGTTCATTGGAGTAGGACAGCACGTTTCCAACAGCTGAGCAGCTGTACTCACCTTTTGTTAGGTTACATCACGTCAAGTCTGCATCATGATCCTGAGGAAGCGCCAACTTCTTTGAAATGGACGTATTCGAGACACTTTCATGGTCTCGGACCCCACGAGACACCAAAGATGTCATTTGAAGCTCGGAATGACGTTTTGACAGAGGTCCCCGCTGTAAACCCACTCGTGGCTCTTTTGACAATTATCTGATGATATCGCTTGGTGCAATAGTGACTGCAGTTTGTCTAAAGGACCCGAGAGAACCTTTGGCACGTCGATAAGAGGCGCTGTGATAACGTGTACTCGCTGCCTCTGTGCAGTCTCTGCTCATCATTAAGATTTAAAGTTTGCAGTATTCATCACCTGGCGGACGTTTCGATGGTAAAGAGTAACGACGACGATGCTACAAGAGCACAGTACTGCAAAGACGAGCTGAGACTGCTGGTCAAGTAGGAGAAGTAAAAGTGCACGCAGACTCGTGACAACAGCTTTGGTGGGATACTGAAATCACATTAAATTGAGACGTTGGACAAGCTTTTTGTGTGTAGACTTGAGATGAGGTGGCCAAGGTACGAACTGAATGCTGCTGTAGGTGGGGAGTAATCATGTCCGACAACTTGTTGTCAAAGCACGACGCTTGTAAAGTGATCAACACGCACGATCTGATACATCGTCCTTCTTGTTTACAACTATTGGATCATATCACACGGTCGACAAATGGCCTATTTATTGCAGCCTAGATATACAACATTCACATACTTGACACGATTCAGGTTGAGCGAGCGCGTCAGCATCGGAAAAGACACCGACGGCACTTTTTGAGTAATTAAAGTGGACGCCTCCTCCAAAGTTCACGCAGACACTGCCACCTTTTGATCAGTTCCCGAGTTTCAAATTCTAGCTTTCAGTGTATGCGCCACAAGCCAGTGTTGGGTGTAGACGTCCACACCAAGCAACTGCTCCTTCGACGTAATGATTTGTATGTGAGACAGGTAGCAACGCCACATCTGCTTGGAATGCTTCTTCTCGTAATTACATGACGAAGGATATTGACCATCAAACAGTGCACAACGCATATAAGATGCAGCATGAAGTGCATACAACCTGTGCAGCCACTTGCAGCCTCAGACAATGTTACGTTGATCTTTTTAGTGCTAGGCGGCCACGTGATTTCGAGATCAAAGTGACAAGTATTGGCTAAATGATGCAAAAGCTTGATTGAATCAGCCGAAAGCCCACGTCGCGCGGTACAGCCAAGGAACGTGCGATGATGTTTTGGCACAATGAGCTGCGCACAGCTTGATCCGGGATCACGAGCTGCTAAAACTGCCGATCGGCCACCAATTAAATGACGGTCAATATGTAAAGCGTTCGTTTCGTCTTTTTACAGTGTTACCTGCTGCCGGTAGCCGCACGAATTCTCGACGCAATAATTGCACTCTTTTCCACAACTTTAAATGGTTTGTTAATAATATGAAGTGATGCATGATGGCAGCGACAAGTAATCCAGACATGGCCGACAACTATGTGCTTCTCTTCCATGCGTTCGCCATCATTTCGATAGTAGTCATGCCCTCCGATCATTAGTGTAAAGGGTGGGATTTAAGCACTACATAAGTGCGACCTCGTGCGGTGCAAGGCCGCCGACACGAAGAAGATCCGTTTTAGTGTATCGGCTACAAAAGGATGCGACTCCTAACAAGAAGAAGCTCTGTCTGATGTGTTGGCTTTGAGTGATGCAGGTTTTAGAGCATATTCGTTTTTTGTCATCAGGCGGAGCTAAGATCAGTGTATCGAATCCGGATGTTTTCGACCGCCTTGTTACTTACTGTGTTGTGTTTAGAGCCACTGATTGTATGCAAACAGAGTTGTGGTACTCAAGCAGTATATTTTTAAGTACCAGGTAGTGCATCTCACTGGTTGGCCTCGTGTAAGGTGTGGTTGTTCGTCGACGACGAGCTGGATGGCAACTTTTTATACACAAAATCCCCGTTGTGCATGTATTGGCCTTACTGGTGACGTATGACAACGAAGTCAAGAAAATGCGTTATACCTTGAGCGATGTGACGTCTAAAGCTGCATGTTGATCGTTCTCCACAGCAGCGCGCTTCTCAACATTAGCGTCGCGCTGCGGTAAGTGAGTGATGTTATTTTGTTCCATTGGCTTTGAGATCATTGGCATACTGAATGTTGCTAGCGTATAATGGCGTATTAGCTTGTGATGCATTGGTTAGTGATCACGTCAAGACTAGGGTCGCCCTTGCTCAGGAATTCCTGCAAGAGTCGACCAATGGTTGACAAGTCTTCGGTAACTAACACCATTGCAGAGTCATTTGAGTATAGACATATTTATTCCTGTGACGCCTTCCTCGATGCCTTTTTACTTCCTTACATGCCTCAGGATTGGTGGTCGACAGTTGTGTGGTGACTGATCAGTGATCTTGAAGGGTACACTAGTATCATTACATCATTTTTGTGCCACCTGGCTTACCGCACTATTGGTGATATGGATAACGACTTACACTCATGCAAAACGCTGATCAGTCAAACTATAGAATAAAGTGCGCTTTCAATGTTCTTCCGGGTCGAGATACCCATTCGACACTAAACACAGAAAGTCAGATCTACAATCTATGGACGTAGGTAATTCACGCTAGTCGCCTAGATGTGAAATCGATGTGCACAGTGCTTTTTCATAGCCCCATGCGAACAGGTAGACGGCCTAACTTGTTGAACGTTGGAATCACCCGCACCTTGACAGTAACTATGCACCAAAAATTTCATCTTCCATACTCTGATGCTCAGTAAAGGCCGGCACTTAAGGCTAGCAGTTGTTTACACATTCGACAGTGTTGAAGCACACCGATCGGCACTGTAATGTCGAGACCTAGCATCATCAATGCATAGAGGTAGCATCTCCATTGTCCTGCGTTACCTGTACTCATCAATAGTTTCTTGTTTAGACGGCATATTTTGAAGGTTTCACGGGTACAGTATGCAGGTGCAGCAAGGCCGTGTACGCTTGCAATGGTTCCATATGCAGCACTTAGTTTGAGAAAGATATTGCATACCGAAGCGACAGCACTCATTAAGTTCTCGTCTAATTCTTCCATTTGACCTCACAACATGCTAAAAAGCTGGAGAATATTCTACCAGTTCGATACAAGCATCGGATTATCCTCCAGATAAGCAACCACTTGTAGATTGTGTGTTTGAAGTCATCCCGTGATCTGGAAATGAGCATATCGTCGAGTTTTTTTCTACGTCAATAGTGCAGATGATGTTGCAGCCTTTGTCTCATTCACGATTGTCTCTGCTGCTGACGGATCTGAAGAGCACAAAAGAGGCGACGACAATCTCATTATAAGAGCAAGAGCGTACGTTTGAATTGATTATGAAATGCGGTCACGAACCACTGAACCGATTGCAAACTCGCTCACGTGGTGCACAGTATCTACGCAGACGTCTCTTTATACTGTACCCGCACCTGAACTGTATTCGCATACGTCGACCTGTTTTATGTATCACTTTTTAGCTTTTGTAGCTGACACTAGTAAATTCGCATCAAATTTCGGCGTTATTTTCTTTTGCGTGTACAACATTAGAGACCCGAAGTCGTTTAAGATCTTCCAGAACGCTTATGGGTATGTCGTTCTTTGCATGCAATCAGTTAAATGTAGTTATAACATGCCATGGCTGAACTGACATCAACGACAACCCCGGTGAGCGACGTCGTCACGATAGCGGCCAGAGCGATACGAGGCCGCTTTTTTATGAAAGTGTCGATGACACCATATAATTTGACACACCAGAAACGTCAAACAACTGATCATACATCTCAGTTCTGTTTTCACGGAGCGATGAACGAGTGATTTTTGACAAGATTGAGTTAGCACAGATCGGTACCGTCTAACATCGTAGTGCTAATTTTAAGCTTTCCATGGGTACTAGCACCACATGCAGAGTAGCTACTTCTGCTGATACGTACGGCAGAAGAACTTGGGTGAAGGAAGCTCACTGGTTTCAAGCACCTTAGCCTTGCCACGCTCCTAATTCTTGGTCATTTACCCAAGTTGATAGCTCGCAGAAACCTAGCAAATAATAAGCTTTCATCTTTGCCGGAGTGTCATCTGCGGTAGGGGCGTCAGCGTTCTAGGCGTAAGGTGATCTTTACGACACTGATGCATAGTGCGAAGTGAATATGATGCTACTTTTAATGCCGATGTAAACGGGGCTAATAAAATCCCTCATCAATATTACTCATGATTAGGATTCATCTGCGAAGTCGAATATCAGTAGACATGAGAGATATGCACAACCGTGTTGCAACAGATTTTAAACAGTCAAGGAGCGAAGGCTGCCAATGGACAATTCGGACCTGCGAGCACGAGCAAATTTGCTCGTATGTCGCACTTGTTTACAGATGTCTCCAACCATATTTCCGGCGGTATTTGTCCCTAGCTCGGTATACTACGATTGATACATGGTCATCAGACTGCTGTTTACCCACGGAAGTCGAGCCGAGTTAGCACCGGACTTTGCTCAAAATGACGCCTTAAGGAATTGAGATGCTTAGGAATAAGCAAGCGTTCGACTGGAGAGTGCGTAAAACCAGGTAAAGAAGAAGTAGAAACAACGTACACTGCAGATTGAATCAAAAGGAAAAATTTGTGTGTGTGGTGATGCTATTACACGGCGGAGCTGTAGCTAGTGCCACTGAATAGTCCATTTGGAGACGTTACTTTCGTGATATGCGCTCTGCTGTTGCTGTGTATTGATATTACTAAGTGTGTAGTTCCAGGTTCAGCACAAAAGATCGTCAGCAAATTTGTCAGCAACCTGTACCAAATGTATCACATCCTAATGTTGCCTGACACATGACGGAGCTTAATAGGAAATAGGAGGCGAGCAAGTTCTATTCGGTAAGGGTCGAGATACAGCGTGTTCGCCGACAGCAACTTTTTTACAGATGCCGGGAGGTGTAAATGGGCGCGCTGTCTCTTTACAACCGGGTTAAAAAGCTAAACACGATGATCGAGACAAGATTTACGATCGTTTTGTCTATGTAGAAAAGCATGGTGCCAACTTTGGCACTATGTGCAACATTTTCGTACTCAGACTAGACGGCTGCGGCTCGACTATACGTCTGTCGCAGTAGCACATCTACACACATGAGGGCGTTAGCTGGATTGCAGCAATGCAGAGCACGTTATGCTGGTACAAGGTCTGATATCCTTCCATTCGCGCTTAAAGCAACGACATTCGACAAGTAATTATCCGTGTTAACCCTCAACAGAATGGACAAAATCGCCATTGACATCAAGCTGCTAGCTCTAGGATTGTATCGTTCGTAGTGGCTTAGCTCTTCGCTAATGCAACATCCACATTCTCGTAGCCAGTTGCACGCTGATGCGCGACTAATGCCTTGGTGCGTGCGTAGCTTACAGCGTCCAACCCCAAGTTGCACCATCAAACTTGATACTCCCTTATAACATAACTAACAACCATGAACGACAAGAATGAGCAGGCTCTTTATCCGGTGCGACACCTACCATTCTCGTCTGTTTCCAACAACCGTCCTGAGCAAATCTTCCTCCCGCATTTACAAGAACCCCCTCCTTTTGGTCTCCTCTCTAATATTATACAACCGCAAAAAACTCCTTCCCTCAGTAGCTCTCGCGTCACAACTTCCGTCATATCCACCCAAAAAAAGCAGAGCTACTTATAGCCGTCCCCGATCCCAGTACCTAGTCAAGTACCCACCTACCCACCCACCTCCACACTAGACCCAGCCACCACCACCACCATTGCCATGTTCGAAGCCCGCCTCCCCCAGGGCCGCATCGTCAAGCTCATCGTCGAGGCCATGAAAGACCTCATCTCCGAAGGCAACATCGACTGCACCAAGTCGGGCCTCGCTCTGCAGTCGATGGACGGCTCCCACGTCTCGCTCGTCTCGCTCTTGTTGCGGGCCGAGGGCTTCGAGCACTACCGCTGTGACCGGAACATCTCGCTCGGCGTCCAGACCGCGTCTCTGTCCAAGATCCTCAAGTGTTCGGGCAACGACGACGCGCTGTCGCTCTCGGCGGAGGACAATGGGGACGCCCTCAACATCATGTTTGAGGCCACGTGTACGTTCTTCTCGACTGTCAGCAAGGAGTTCAGTGCTCATGTGACAAGTCGAAGCGAACTAGTGGAGCTGGAGTTGTCATAGTAGAGTCCTCACGCCTTTGTAGCCACTTGAGGGCTCTCACGGTATATTGTACAGTCCAAGCGACCAGGTCCTGACGTTGTTCTTGTGGCTGTTGCTCTTCTGGATGTTGTGTGGCAGCTGGGGACCGCGTGTCGGACTTTTCGCTCAAGTTGATGGACATTGACAGTGAACACTTGGGCATCCCCGGGACGGAATACGTGGCAACGGTGCGCATGCCTTCGGGCGAGTTCCAGCGCATCTGCCGTGACTTGCAGACAATGGGAGACACGTGCACGATTGCAGTCGGCAAAGAAGGGGTCAAGTTCTCGGTCTCGGGGGACCTGGGCGCGGGGAACATTACGCTCAAAAACAACACAGCGGCCGAGAAAGAGAGCGACCGGGTCATTATTACCATGGAGGAGCCCGTGGAGCTGACGTTCGCGCTGCGGTATCTCAACATGTTTGCCAAGGCCACGCCGCTGTCGGAGACGGTGACGCTGAGCATGTCGCCCGGTATTCCCGTTGTTGTCGAGTACGCGATTGGCGACATGGGTTACATGCGGTTCTACCTCGCGCCGAAAGTCGAGGAGGATGATTGAACATTGCAGGCTGGACGTGTCGCGTCATGCAGTTCTGATGGGGCGCAGTGTATTGATCACTTGCTGCTAGTCACGTTTAGAATGAAGCATTGTGCTTGGGGTTGGTGTGGTGGAGCCAATAAAGAGGTTGATGAAAACAAACAAACAAACGGGCAGTTCCATTATTAAAAAACGTGGTGAGATGATGTTGTGGGTGTGCTGCGGGACGTGTTGGACCTTCAAGGCAGATCAACTCATCAATTTTGATCTGTCGGGGCTATCTCTGCTTGACCTCAATGTACAGCGTCCGAACGCACCCCTGTATCCGAGATCGCTTGAACTGCTGCAGACTATGAGGTTGTTACTTTCCCCAGGACTGCAGATTCGCGTACGTGACGTAAAAGAACGTCAGCACACCCACGACGACCACGAAGGTGTCGACAAGTCGGTCCATCCACGACACATTCGGGTTCAGCTTGAGGTGGAACAACGGCGGGTAAATTAAACTTAAAGGAACTGTACACAGCAGCAACCCAGCATAGAAACAACTGTTAGACGACGCAACGACAGACAGACATCATAGCACACGTACCACAACAGAAAGCGCCGACAATCGAGACAAAGAGATCGAGACGCTTCTGACCAAAGTAAGCAATGCAAACACACGCGAGGACAGTCACGGCACGAAGACAGTTCTTGGCGAGTTTTTGGCCGGATGCGCGTCTTGGAAAACCCAGCATCTCCTCCATAATCTTCACAGCAGGAAAGAGGAACAACGGGTACGAAAGAAGCTGGGCAAACGCATAGCCAAATTGCACCGAACTCGACCATCCATTGCGTGGCAGACTGGATGTCACCATAGGAGCAATGCTGCTACCAAACGTGATGTAATTGACACCTGCAAAAATCGAGTAGAAGAAGAGCAAACCAACGACTGTCCACGTGAGCAGGGTCGGGTAGCGCTTTTGGCGCGCCTTGTTTAACGAGCTCTGAGTCGGCAGCACAAGACCGATCCCTTCGAACGTGAAAATTGACGTGCCAATAAAGATCGCGTAGTCCTGTTGGTTGAACAGTACCACATCCTGTGCCGGGCCTTGCGTTGCAAGCAACCAAAAGCTGTTACCGAGTATAAAAATGAGTCCATAGAGGATGAACATATCAGCGATGAGGTTGCTGATGGAAAAGTAGCTGATATACCGGATCCAAGACAGCGGAATGTACACTGCAATTTGCAGCACAATGAGCAGCGACGTGTCGACAGGAACGCCACAGAATCCGAGCACCTCGGACAAGTTTTGCGCCACGAAAATGACGTACGTACAGCAGAATCCCGCCTGCATCAGAATAATGGAGACCTGCACCATGCGACGTCCCCAAGGACCATAAGCTCGAAAACCCACTTGACCGTAAGTACCGCCAACGAGTTCGCGACACTGAAGTAACCGCAGCATTGCGTACAGCGTAAGAGCCGCAACAAATGTCAGACATACTGGCGAAAAAAGGATCCCGCCACTACGGAATCCATCTGGCAGGAAGAGAATGCCAGTGCCGACAAATGACTTGAGCAAAGTAAGCAGAGCATGCCACAGTGTTGTCGTCTTGTCCGTATCCTTGGATTTTGATAGAGCAGATGAATCTACCGATAAAAGTGCCGAGCTCTCGGTTTGAATGGTTCCAGATCTAAAACAGAGTCAAACATAAAGTTAAAGAGTCAGTCCCTATTGTGAATATATTTTCACACACCCTCTTTTCAAAATACTTGAACCTGTATTTGTGTCTACGTATAAATGCACACAATCTTTTTTTGTCTTCTCTTATTAATTGCAATGAAATAGAGACATAGATGATAGACTCACTCGGGGATAGGAGCTCGTTGATAGGGGCCACGAGTCGAGGGCGGCGTCATGAGCAGGCTCTGCACACGGTCCTGGACGTTCATCTCGTCGTACTCGTCATTGTCCTGGCCCAAGATGCTGCCAATGAACGGGTCGTAGACGCTATTGATGCGGTCCACGATCTGCTCCCGCAGCGCTTTGGACACAGCAGGTCGGACCGTCGTCGTCTGAACGTGGTGACGTCGAAACCCACCGGGTACGGCAATGTCCAGAGCTTTGGGCGTGGTGGTGTCGGAGAAGAACCCGGGCTCGGATTCTCGACGGCCCGTGATATGGGCCGACGACATGATTTCGAGGTCTTTTTCGTGGGTTTACGGCACTTAGTGGGTAATAATCGGGTAGGGAATAAGAAGAGGTGCTGTTTGTGGGGGATCGACCACGTATGTTCAAGTGAAACAGCGAGGACGGGGTCATTAAAAAAACGATGGACGGACGGATGGACGGACGGGTGGGATGTCACGCACGAGAATATCTTTCGCGTGTGAAGTTGCTGGAAGTGGTCGAGGTAGTGTTGCACGTGGTGTGGTGGACATTACTTGGCGACAGCGATCGAAGTGGACGGTTTATAGAGTGCTCCACACGAAAAGCACACACCACCGCTTTTTAGTGTCAAAAATACGAAACCCGGTCTGCATTACGTCGATAATAATGGACCTGCTTCAAACATACGCGTCCAGCGACGACGACAATGACGACACGAAGAAACTCCAGCACTCGCCGAAGCCACAGTCGACCGACTTCTCGTCTCTCTGCCTCCCCGTCATTAACTCTGCGCCTTTTGTCACTCTTGTGGACAGTCAGGAACGTGCGAATAAAATCGCGCTTTTGACGGCCGGAACTCAAACGCAATTGGCTATAAATCTGCCAATCGAAGCGACGCTGGCGCCAGTTGCTGGTGCACAGACCACCGGGTCTACGCAAATGGCTACAATGGACCGGTTACGTGCAGGAAGTGGTACAGAAGTTGTCACGGGTGTTGTGGAACCTGCTGCAATGGAAGACTTGAGCTTTGAAGCCCAGTACCACACTTTCAATCATACTTTCTATCGGGCCAATGGAATTGCTCGGAACCGAGTCCAAGGAGCTCCTCCACCAGCTCCAGCTTTACCCGGAGAGAAAATTGCTGATACAATTGCGGCGTTGAATGACGACAATGTGTTTACGCGACAAAATGGGAGGAAGAGGAAGAACAAAAGCAGTGCAAAGGCTCAAGCAGCTAAAGAAGATGTTGGTGACGAAGAATCGAGTGGCATTTGGGCTCCATCCGGGACAAAAGGGAGGTTCATGTCGGATCTAGAGCAGGGCACGATGTCGGAGCAGCAAAAGGCGCTGTTGAAAGAGCACGAGGAGACGAAACGCCGCAAAGCTGAAGCAAGGAGCGAAGTGGACGAGGAAATGGACTTCGACCGCATGGTCGAGAAAAAGACGTCGCACTTGCTTCCGGCGAGGCTAAAAGCAGGACAAACAGCGTTGGAAGGCAAGTCAAAGTTTTGTGGTGATCAGGAGTACGACTACCAGGGACGTGCGTGGGTTGAGCCTCCGCGTGGTCTAAAACCCGATGATGGCGATCATGAGATTTTTGTGCCCAAACGCTGTGTGCACAAGTGGACAGGACATACAAAGGGCGTTCAGGCTATCGAGCTCTTTCCCCAGTACGGCCACTTGCTGCTATCAGGCAGTATGGATAATACAGTGCGCATCTGGGACGTTTATAACGATCGTAAGTGCCAGCGCGTGTACGAAGGTCATTCTGGAGCAGTGCGTGGCATCAACTTTAGTACAGACGGCCGACAGTTTTTGAGCTGCAGCTTTGATCGGTTTATCCAACTGTGGGATACGGAGACAGGGCAAGCTGTTCATTCGTTCACGACCCGACGAGTGCCATACTGTGTGAAGTTCTACCCTCTTGACAACACGCAATTTGTCGTGGGCGATTCGAACAACATGGTGGTGCAGTTTGATGCTCGGTCAGGCGAGATCGTGCAGGAGTACAACCACCACTTGCAGGCTGTCAACTCGGTGACGTTTGTGGATGACAATAAGCGGTTTGTTAGCACTTCTGACGATAAGAAGCTGCTTGTGTGGGAATGGGGCATCCCAGTGCCGATCAAGTACATTTCGGAGCCGGGCATGCATTCAATGCCGGCCGTGACTCTCCACCCGAGCGGTGGCTTTTTTGCTGGACAGTCGCTGAATAATCAGATCGATGTGTATGCTGCACGAGACAAGATCAAGGTCAACCGGAAGAAAGTGTTCAAGGGACACCAGAATGCTGGCTACGCGTGTCAGATCGGATTTTCTCCGAATGGCCAGTACATCATGTCGGGTGATGGCGAAGGTAAACTAGTGTTTTGGGACTGGAAATCTACCAAGATGATCAAGAAGTTGCGAGCTCATGACCGGGGACCTACCATGGGTGCTATCTGGCATCCTCTCGAGCCTAGCAAGGTCGTTTCGTGTGGATGGGATGGTCTCATTAAATACTGGGATTAGTTTTGCTGCATCCGGAACTATTCCTCAGTAATGATGTGTTTGTTGGTGAACTTCGTGACGTGATTTACAAAGATTGCGAAACTGCACGTGCATCAAATTGTCATGGTCTTGACCTCAAATCGACGACACAATGCCGATAATGAGAAGGTAATATGTTGTGTGTGGTTGTTCCAACGGAGTGTTGTACAAACTCAGACACAAGATGCAGTGTCACCTTCAGCACACATCACATCGCGCGATCTGTGCAAGTAATTGTGACTTGCATCAGAATGTATTCTTTCGCCGAGGCTTGCCCCACTGAGTATAATTCGAGAGAGGATTGTCATCGATGGCTCTATTTTTGGGTTTCACTAGATCTTGCAAGTGGTTTGGTCTACTACATCGTACTCATGAACACAAAAACATGAAGACAGAGATCCGCATCCCGCGGTCGCTTTTGGTCGGACCACAATAAACTTGTCAGAGCGTGTACCCACCTTGACTTCGGGTGTCCACGTCGGGAAACTGCGTCGCCACCTCGAGAATCGAGTCAATCTCCTCCTCCGACATTGGCAGACACTCAAAGTCGCTTAACGTAGCTGCATAGTTCAAAAACTCGACGTCAGAGACTGGTGTCGAGTTGTAGATTTGGTAGTAGTTCGGAGAGAGTGCGACCTCGGATCCAGGCACGAAACAGCCGTGGAAGTCCATCGGGTCAATGCCTCTCCTAGTGCTTAGGGAAGACCCTGCGACGGAGCAGGGCGAGGCCGAGTCACTTCCTGTCTTGCGATCGTACTGGAGTTTGTATTGCTGCAGCTGCTGCAGTTGCTGGTAGTTGCGTCGTCGCTTGAGTGAGTGCGTGTCTTTAATCGACGAGCGCAACCCGCGCTTGCGTCGCGCGATCTTCTCCCGATACTTCTGAGCGTGAGTCATCGTTTGTCTGGTAGTGCGAGAGCCCACGTGAGCCGCAATCTCCTTCCACGGTCCGGATGGAAACAGCTCGAGACCTTCCAAGAACCGCTCGTGCTCTGTGGGTGTCCAGGCCCGTCCATTTGTGTCTACAGGTGACAGATCCTCTCGATTCAACGAGGTGGATGGAGAAAGCGGAGCTTCTGACGGGATGCGGATGAGGTCCCCACCTCCCACGTGATTTGTCTGGAACAATTGGTTCTTGACATCAGCCGTGATGGCCATTGAGCGATCGTCTTAGTAGTGGTGGGAATAAGGCGTCGCTTGCTTTAGGTTGGCAATACAGAAGCACGCGATAGAGCGCTGAATGGAGAATGAGGCGCTGATCTCCGTGTTTGCCCAAAGGAATGACGTTCCTCCTGCGTGATGCTTGCGCACAAAGTCCAACATTTAGGTGCTGGATAGTAAGTATTATTGTCCACGCGCTCTCTAGCTCTACAGATGGAGAAGTCGGTGCTAGCAACGATCGATCTTCTATAATTGCGACCGAGGCAGCAGGCGAAAATCCGACGCAACGTTCTGCTGGCCAGAGTCAAGTGGAGACAAGACCTTTTCGAGATAAAGAATGACTGGTAACATACGAGGCATTTACCTACCTACAAGCGGACAATTGCAGCCCTTTGGCTCGAAAATCAGTGCACATTCATCAGACTGGGCGTCGACGGACGTCTTTTCGTGTTCAGGCCAGTTCAGGCCAGCACGACCGTGCGAAAGTCTGGTCCTTGCGTCGGAATCGTCATGTTTTGCCACCTCGAGTAGCACTGTGTGATGCAAGCATGTCAAAGACAACTTGCTGGACGGATCAGTGTGCAGCTGTTGCGGCGACAAAAAGAATGGACACCACACGTGCGTGCCATCTTGCCGGGATGTTTCGCCACCACTTTGTCTAAAGGAAAAGATTCTTGACGTGGACGTGCTGAAAATGGAGCCACTGCATCGATGCGCTGATCTGACTCCTCAATGACGCGCACTTTCGACTACTGCAGTGTCCATTTGCTGCTGTCGTTAAGCACGTTGACAACCACGTGCAAGAAGTACGTGCATTTTCGAGGCTCTACTCAATGTGCGGGCATGTATATGCGATGCGCTCGCTATCACGCCCTTGTTCCTGAATCCTATTGACCCAAATCTCTCTCTAGCTTCGTTGCTGGCTAGGAGTCGAAGCGTCGTACTACTAAATTGATGCAGGCACGAGCTTGCCACATCAGCGTAATGCGTCCCACAGCTCGCTAGTGCCGTGCTCGCTGCAACAATAAATGCAAACGTCGAGTCGCTCGAAGGCCCACTCTACGCGTATGCGGCAAATAGATCAATGCTAAACCCTGTGTCTTAGCGACATTTGGATTCCTTACTGATTCCATTTTTCTTAACCATTCGAGGCATGTATGTAGCTGCAGACTTACTCTCTAACTCCGTAGCTAGTAAAAACCGTAAGCAAAGAGCGTAACTCGAGACCAATGCTGTTGAATCTCCCACGATACTTCTGATGAACAACCTCAAGAGCGGTACATGTACATCCTAAACCAGAGTGAGGTCCGTACGTAGCTCCATGGACCTTCGTCCACGATTTTTTTTTGCAACTGCAGCGGCATTGTATCCATTTTACAATGCGATTTTCGCGCGAGGGTGTGCATACGATAGCTGCGTCACCTTGTCATCTGCAGTTGAACCGTTATCCCTTGAACATATGCAGCGCGAATCTGTGCTCTCTCGAATCAGAGTCCTCTTTCGTCTCACACAACTACCACTGCTCGACTCCTCGTCACGTTCATCCCCTTCCATTTTGCTGGGTCTCCTCTATGCTCACGCGGTCATCAGCCGCGTTCCTTTGGAATGCATTCAAGAGACATTCAACCTCATACGACCTTAGGACTTGTGTAAACTGCAAGTAGCAGTGTCGTATTCTATAAATGTCCGCCGTCTATAGACGATGTCTTGCCAATGCATTGGGCGTACTTCCCTGAGACTTTTGACTCCAAAGGCTAGTTAATAGCCTCGCTTTTGTTTGTCGCAGCTCTGTACAACGCTTGGAAAGTGGAGTATCGTTCAAGGCACTTCCACTTGTCTGTCGTCAACCGAGCAATTTCGAGACGTACAGCGGATCCAGCACCGTCTCATTGAGGTCATCATACAGTTCCGTGGGCTTGGCGGTGATGGACAGTGCTTGACAATCAGCACGTTGCTCCTTCCATAGTCGATGCAAGCACATTAGCGACGACACTGTCGTTTGGGACTGTGGTGAGTGTTCGTGTGAGTGAGTGCCAGTGTGTTTACTGGAAAAGACGACGATAAATGCTGGAAAACCTTGGATCGACGAGAAAACGAGCCGTCATCACAAAGTCGGACCGATGCATCGAGATGTAATCACTATTGCCGCATTGAACGGCATGAAATGAACACCGCAAGCGATTGTCATGCTAGCTTGAGGTCGGGAAGCGAGAGAGAAGATTTCCTTGAAACGCAGCTTATCATGTCTCTTTTCAAAACGACAGATGGAATGTCCATCTTCGTGCTTCGCTCATGGCCGAGAGATTTCCGCGAGATGCACGAGCTTTGGCCTATTGAATTCACGCAAGTCAAGGCTTTCTCCAATGAGGCTATCGATCGCACAGTGGAACCGAATGCTTTTCAGACGTGTCTGGCGAGTGTTACACACGCTCTACTCGAGACCGCGCTTGTTTATCGACGGCCCTTCTAACCATTTGCAATAGAATTCCGGTGTGGACCGACTGCCTGGTGACCATCGCAGTAGATTCTTTGCGGCTACTCTCGATTCTGCAGTCTTCCGATTGAACCACTCGTCTTCCAGCCGCCAACTTGACATGAAGACTGCTTTGCTGCGGGAGGTTGACGTACAAGTCGTCCGGGTCGAGCCACGCGGACGCAACTGTCCGTCACCTGTTTACGTGTTTGCGATTCGTCCGCGTAGTTGCAGCCACAACGACAACAAACCCGTGGCTCGACGACAGGACTTGGACCACGCCGAACTTGTCGACCAATATAACGCACCGGTGGTCCACGAGGTGAAACGCACGTATACTCACTGCCGGACGTTGTATCGAGACCTCCAGCGGCTGACCGACTGCAGGAAAGCCCAAGCGTGCTGCTGTGCGTTCGATTCGTGTCCCTTCTGGTCGTTGTCACTCGTGCTCGACAGCCTCAAGTTCCCAAGGCGGACGCTATTTAATCATCAGTCTAAGCGTGTCTTTGCACAGCGGACGCACGCTCTCAGTGCCTTGATTCGCACCGTGTTGACAGTGCTTCAGAACAACTACCGCATCGATCACTTTCGCAGCGACGACGACGACTTCAAGTCGGACACCCGCGTGTGTAAAGTGTTGCACACGTTGTCTCGGTTCCTCGAGCTTGACAGGTCGGACGTGGAGCAGCGTCTGCTGGAAGGCAGCGACCGATGGGCGTGCAAATTAAACCTACGTGGTTGGCAGTCGGACCGATGCAATCTGTACTTCCAAGGCGAGACCACGCACTGTCACGCGACGTCGGGTCCTCCCGTCCGAGACCGCAAGTCTATGGAACTCTCTCAATCACTGGCCACGTCCGACGACGAGGTCGGCGATAAATATCCGACGACCACCACGTCGGACGACGACGAGCATTACTCACTGCATTGAAGCTCGAATACCTGATGGGTTTATCGAACACGTCACGGGCACTTCTATCCATTGGTAGCCATACAAAGGCCGAACGTCTGCTCGGGTCATCGCTGTCCGAGTGTGTAATGTTCGTTCGATGTCCATTCGAATCGATCCGACAAAGCAGATGTCTTCGTCCGACTGTTTCCAGACTTGGCACTACCATTGGGAAGTAGGTGGAATCGTCACCTTGAACAGGGAACTGATCGATAGTCTGGATTAGGACACGAGGGGTCATAGCACAACGAGAGACGTCACGCACAATGCACTCGCGAGCAACCCGAGCAGTATCGGAGGTGGTGGTTGCTGCTGGCACAGCAGGAGCGATCGCATCTGCGTGGTGGCTATTGAATCAATTATTAACAGCTGACGACCGACTCAAGCGGATCGGTACTTCGTCAGCCTATCTCGACTCGGAAGCTGTTTCCAGTCCCAATACGTCATATCCGTCCGCTCCGCGAAGGAGCTACCAGTCTGAACGAGACCATGACATCGATGACGGCGGCTTTGCCTCGCTGCCACTTGTCTCTGAGTCGGAGAGTGACACTGATGAGGACGCAATGAGCTACACGGCTGAGTATTATACTCCCCACCACGACGTCTGCATGTTGTCCGTCAGTGTCCAGACTCTACTAAGTCCACTCGCAAATGCTTCGACTGCCTGTCGACTCTACGAAGCTGAGACCGACGAGAACGAGACCACTTCTATGCTGTCGTTTTCGGACACTGAATTAAGCAGCAACGGCAGTGCTTTGTCCTTGTCCAGTGGATACAACGAGCAGGAAGAAAATTGGATCGTACCGCGCTCCTTGACGTACGCAAGGACGGAGCAGTGGCTGTATGTTCGACTATAGCCACGCTTTTGTTCGACTATCTCCGTCGCTGGGAGAAACTGACTGGTAGTCATTACTTAGTACTACATTACTATTGATCGCACCCGTGGGCGATAGGGAGGAAAACGGTCGTAGCATTTGTGCGTTGCGTCTAATACTGTCAACATGATCGTTCCTCAATGCATTGTAAAGTCCAGTGTAGCATGTGTCACAATGCGCAGGTTAGTGGCAATGTCCTATATCAGGCGCAACAAAAGCTGGATATAATGGAATGCAGAAAACTTGATTTCCACTGAGCAACTTTGGCATTGAGGAGGGAAAACCTCGAAGGTGAAAACCCCGTCTGTTTGACTGTAGGGTATACACCGACCGGTGTATACATGCTGTATCTATACCAACCGCAACAGTGCGTTCTTTTATCGTACTGAGCCATATTACAATCTGGGACACGACATCTTGATCCAGGGACACGACGTCTCGAATCAGGGATACGATGTCTTTTACTTCGTCTCAGTATGGACTAAATGAGTGAGTACTCAGACAAAGCTGCGTGTCAGCTTCTTAACTCGTTTTTAAATTACTGTGAGCATAGATTGTGTACAAGGGTGATACACCTTTCAGTCATATTATTCGAACGGTTAATACATATCCGAGCTGCGATTGCTATGCACTCATGCCTGGAGCCACTTACGATGCTGAAGAAACTAATAAAGCTGTCACGTCATCTCGATATAATTCCACATGACTCTTTTGATGTGCTTTACCGTTTGCTTCAGCCAGGAGAAAGAATGATGCAAAGCTTCGTGCATGTCAAAAACAATCAAGTGCGAGCCACGGGACAATCAGAATCAAACGATTCGCGACGTCAACCATGTACTCGGGGCACTGAATCTTCCTCTGTTGTGGGAAGTGCTGGTAAATCTCTACAAGGGCTTTTGAGTTGCAGTTTCTGCTCGCAAAGTCAGGGTTTACAGCCAGACATTGTTAGTACGTCAGTAAATCAGTTTGAATTGTTGCTGTCATGTTTGCAAAAGAGTGCGAAGGCCTCTGTACTATCCTTGTATACCTCACGACAACACGCGTACTACATCCAGTCGGTCCAAGCATGATGCGTTAATTTGTATTAGCTGTAGCGTTATATGAATCGGTAATGTGGCCACCCTTATCAGACTATAAAGAGACCTAGGATAGGTCGATGGCGTATTGATAATTCCTGCAGCAGGTCGTGAAGAGACATGCGGAATCGTAAGTGTCAGCAGTTTGTCCACAATATGATTCACTTTTTGATCGACATGGTAAGATCGTGTGCGTATTGTGCAACAGACTGTCATGGAAGGTCACCTCAGCTTCCAAAAAGGAAGAAGTAGCAAGATCAACAATACTGGCTTACATACTGTATGATAGTTTTCGCCGAAGAAGAAATGATGTGGAGTGCTTCTCAGCTTCATGTTCTTTACGGCCAAGGTGATGATACTAGTATGATCCAGTTCGTAAAAGAAGACTCGGTACGGACTTGGTAGAAAGTGCTCAATCGTTGCTTACCACACCGCGTCATTGTCGAAGCCGGTTCAACAGTCAGTAAGTTTAAGGGAATTCAGCTCGACGGCCAAAAAATGCACAACTAAGAGGTACTGCTAACTTCGCGCAGTAGCGGTCAACAATTTGTCTAGTAATAAGAACTCAACCACACGATAGTTTATCCTGTTGTCTAAAGTGTTGGCTTGGGCATATTAGAGTCAACAACGTTTGAGACTGCGACTCAACGATTATTCGTAGGAAAGTGCAGTCACGTCTTCGCTCGATAGCTTGCGTCTACTAAGCAACTCGACATTGATCTTTCATAGAAGGATAATTCTGAATGCGTATTCTGATGTCCTCATCTTCGGTTGCATACAAAGATTAAAGTTGCGAACTGTTCTTGAAGCAAGATTCGAGCTGCTTGACTCACATAAACAGCGTATGTAACGGGGCACCCTAAAGCTTGTACTGGTAACAGTACAAGCTACTTATTCTGATGACAGAATAAGGCGGTGCCTCGTAACTTCACGTACACTCGTACGTGCAGAGGAAGACGGTTAGAAGAAGCGAATACTTGGTTAAAGTAAAAAGTAGAACTGTATTTATAAATAGTTAATGTGTAACGGGGTTGCACGAAATTATGCTACGTTGTACCAGGGGTGTTACACACCTTAGGTTACCCCTTTGTGAGGGTGATATAGAATATCTTATTGGTTTGTAGGGGCTGACGAGTGTCAGCCATTAGGTACGAAAGATCTTTGAGTAGGATTAAGACATTCTATAGGCTTTAACAAAATAAAATCAGTTCCCATTTTGATCTGAAGGACACGTGGCTTGCGAGCCGTCTTAATCGTTGATCACTGATCACTAAGAGCTAGCGACACCTCCTTGAGGTAGCTACTCTTGAGCACTGAGTGCTGTCGATTCACTGAATCGTTAGGTCCCCCTGGAACAGGAATCTGAAGCTGTAAAGCTTGTTGACTCGTAAAGTCGTTATTTCTTTGGAACTAAGTTGCTCGTAGAGCGTTAAGTCTTCCTCTGACTTAAGGGGCTGTGTAGCTCCGCTACATAATGTCTGCAATAAATCTCTATTTATCTTCATCTTACTATGTCTAAATACAAATGTGTAAATAAAATATCTGCTCACCACTCATTGCGTGCGTCTGTCGTGGCGCGTCTTCGTTGGTTGATATAATGGCCTATATCAACCAATAGGAACTACTCGTAAGTGCTACAGAATATTCGTCCTTACGACAATATTCTGAGAAAATAACTCTTATAGTTATATTGTATTAACAATTTCTTATAAATTGTTATGCAACGATTCACCCCGTTACAGCGTATGTATCCACACTTTCACGTTCAGACCTAATGCAAATAACCTATGCATTTCCAAGATTGATGTAATCTGCTGCAGATTCGTGCTGATACAAGCCTTATCAGGAGTTTTAGATGAGAGCTACCCAGCATCATTTGATCTTTGTCGCTATCGAAGACCTTCCCGTGTAGACTTGTAAGACGATACACACAATGGTGAGCTCAACTTGCCAACGCGTATCCTATTCTGATAATTGTATTCATAAAACATGTCTGCGGTAAATCAGAGATACCCCCATTCGCTCAGTGGCCGGTCGAATGTTGTACTTACACAGGAAACAGTTCACATTAAGGTTCGGAATCTAATGACTATAAAATAGCAAGCACTTTAGATGAAATGATGCAATCGATCAGGCTCAATTTTTTTGTAAAATTTGTTGTACAATCGTATCCGCGTGGACAACGTCTTGAGAAAAAGTGTAGCTATATGTGCGTACTAGTCAGGTTCACTAATATATTTGGACAGACTTTAGGCAAGATGCAACATTAAGTACAAAATGTCAACTCAGCCGCGACAACAACGACAACGGTATGATTTTTGAAACTCTAATTTGATATTCGGACGTCAATGACGGCATAATTTGCCAAGACCTAATCTTATATTAAGCCTCCTTGCTCAGGTAAGAAGTACGATCTTTATGAAGGATTTAGAATCGTCATTTGCCTCTCCGGAAAAGAAATTGACGGCAGATGTGTATTGTTTTCGCTGGACTCATACGATACGCCGCGTGTTATCAACTGATGCATTGTGCCAGAAATGATTTTTATCTTCGTTCAAATTCGCTCATGGGCTCATCATACGGCACATACTGTTTCGCGTGTACATTCGACCTACAATTATTGATGTACAAGAAAAGTGTAGAAGCTTGTGCCGTATAGATGTGCGACGAGGAATCAAACAATAGTGCACATTAAATCGCATAATAAATAACGCACGAAGTCTTTCTTATTATCAATTGAAAGATGTCAGTTGATTCGCGGCCAACTAGATCCTTATTACTTTTTGTTACTTTTTTGAGTCGAGCTAACTGTCAATAACAATTATTGTGAGCGTTATCACCGTCCCTAAATTCACATACTGTCTTCTATTAACTGTCATTAGCTATTTGGCCTGTCTAATAATAATATCAGATTGAGTGTGGTAACAAGACGTACATCAAGTAAGTGGCACGACTTGATTCGCACGTCATATTCACCACTGTATCTACATGTTTTCAGCTTATATTTGAATATTAAGATTTGGGCGCTTGTCTTCTGCAGTGCAAGATATATAATGATTGCCATCCTCGGATAACTCATAGGCTTGGTGGAGACAATTATATAAATTAGCTGAGCTAAAAGTTACGTGAAATTTCGATTTTTCTTTTTTTGAAAAGTAACATTTACTATATCAGCGATTAGTCCTTTTGAATTTCAGATAACCGTGTCCCAACACCACCATTAATGTACAAAGGCTCGTGATTTGCCAGTTCAAGGTCAAGAATAGAAGAATGGACCGAATTTGTCTGGCAAATTGGGCTTCCGTCAAGTTTATTTAGTTCATTCAAAACGACATCTCTCGCAAAACCAAGAAGCGCACTGATCAAGAATCTACGACAGATAACAAACTTTCCACCATAAGTGCGAGAGAGGTACTTAACATCCAACGTGAAAGGAAGACCTGTCAACTTGGGTGCTTCAATGCAAAACAAGTAATGTTTCTCCGACTAAAGAAATCATTGAGGTCAAGGCAGGTCTATTCTGGACACCTTGGCCTACCTTTAGACACTGTCAAGCTCTTTAGTCGATAGCTGCAACAAACTTTGCGGCACCATGATTTCTTGCGAGAGTAATTTCGCAAATAAGAAAGTCACGGATGCAAGATTGCCTGGACTGCGGGCTGTAATTGCTCGCTATGAGCCTTAAGATGTTTTTAACATGAACAAAAATGTGCGAGATTTAATTTTTTGTTGTTGTATTTAGGCTGATCTTGTACGATACTAAAAATGATATTGGCTGTTTACAACCTGATTTGATGAAGACAGTTAAAAAAAAGGGGTTGAGAGTTCTTAAAATCGAAAGTCAGATTTGTTTAATTACTGGAGAAGTTTGGAAGTCTAAAAGTTTTATGCTCAATATAAGTTTGCTGCCCTTATTTATTTATGTTCGGATCTCTTTTGCCGTTACGAACACTCCGAATGGTACTCCGGATGTCCATCCGCATGGCTGCCACCCCTCAGAGCTTCTTACTTTCATGCATTCACTCGTTTTGGACAATTATTCTCCCTTCAGTTGTAATGCAGAAATATAATTTCCTTAGCTCAGGAGTGTAATCGAATGAGTTTTTGTCAACAGAAAGCTCACAAATTTAAGATTGGTATGAGTTACAAGATAAAAGTGGACGAATAATGGTAGAACGCAATCAGTATAAGTTATCTGGGTTATACGAATCGGATGATTCATAAGTTATGAAGATATGGGTCATCCGAGACATAACTGTACTACCACTACAGTCTTTGTCTGTCGTACTCCGAAGTAAATACTTCCGATTTACCTCGTCAAGCACACATCCTTCTCGACCCCTTTGCACCTTCTGCGCACACATAGAACTTCAAGTCGTTCCCAGCCGATCATTTCAACTGTCTGCTTCGTCACGCTTCTCTTCGTACGTATCTCTTCTTCACGGAAGAGGTGTCGGTCAAATTTACGCGCTAGTTTTTTGTTCGTTCAAGATCATGTCTTAACCACCGTGCCCTACGACGCCGCCGCGCTCTTCGGGTCTCCCGTCAGCTTCATCGCCACGTCGTCTAACGCCGTCTTGTCGCTTCGTCCCTGACGACAGTATGTTTACGGCCAGCTACTCGCTGATTGGTGTCAATTTTTCGACGGATGACGATCACTACTTCTAGGCGAGCACGCAACTGCCTTCTTTAGCTGAAGATGTGCAGTGCACCCGCATGTGGATTCCCGTGGTGCGCCTGTCGGCTGTGCATAGCACGGACGAGATCGTCCAATCGCTGGCGGGGGACTCTCAGCCAGCCATTTGGCAGGCGCATCGGGCTTCTTTGCTCGACTTCGTCCGGAGTCCTCACCAAAAAATCTCCTTTCTCTATCGGTCCGGAGCGGCTCTGCACTCATGGGGTGGTCTGGCTTTGCAGGTCTGCGGTTTGACGGTGCGCATCCGCAATATTTCGAAGTACGACAAATTGTACTTCGTAGATCTGACTCGGCTTCCTGGTGACTTTCCGGACCGGGACATCTACAATTGGTTCGTTAACCGCATTTCTCGTCCGGTTCTTATCACCCTAACCTTTGTTGCATATGAGCTTAAGTCGCAAAGCCGTACGGTGTACTTCCACGCGATTCAGTGCCCTGCCGGTCTTTTCTCGAGAATGGTCAACCCCTTCGCGAGATTTACTTCGATCCTGAAGACAAGCCGTGTTTCGTTCAACATCGTCTTCGCAAGCTTAACCGTGTCAAGACTCCTTCGCTTCGCCGGGTGGCTACTTCGCAAAAAATTCCCTTGGATGATATCGATGATGCGGCTGTGAAGATCGATGATGTTGCATCTCGTTCTTCGACTGCGGGCGGTCCACCCCACCCCCCCCGGGACTTCTCTTTTGGCTGCCGTTCGTGCTCCTCAAGAGCGGCCCACCCATCGCCCGCTTCGGCTCGGTCGCCAACGAAACTACTTCTCCTCAATTCTGTCGAGGTGAACGCGCCAACGCGGCAATTGGTTCAAGCTTTGGCCGCGTGATTACGCAGGATGCCGGTCCTGTGTGTAAACCTACTGGCTTGATGCCGTGCTTGCTCGCTGATGTCCCTAATGATTTGTCGGCGCTCAAGTATTTGACGATGGTCGACGTGTACAACACGTACGAAGTTCTCACGGATTCTGGATTTGACGAGACTCATCCTCCGGACGTTGACATTGCGGTATACGAAGGGCAATTCAACAGCGTGGATGAGGTTACTGAAGACTTTGAGTTGGTTTCTCGCTTTGCTACTCACGCGCTCATGGGCTTCCGCACGCTTAAGCCGAAGCGACAACAGCTTTTGGCATAAGAACAGGACGCGCTGATAGCAGAATTTGTGTCGAAAGACGTCCTGAATTACTCTTCGCATGATGATGTTTTTGCTGCAATTCAAGTGAAGCCTGCATATCTACACCACTTGTACAAGCTTCCGACGGAGTGGCTTGAACGGACTTGCTGCACACATGCAATTTTTCGGGCTTCTCTTGACGTTCGTCTTCCTGGTGGACAGAACGACATACTGTCATACTTGCAAGCCAAGTTTTTTGCTACGGGAGTATTAATAGCTCAGCTTTTCGACTTTGTGTTTACCACGGATGAAGCTTGCAGAGCAGCGTTGGCTTGGTCCAAGTGTATTTATTTTTGTTGGTTTTCGTGCCTGTAGTTTACTTTGATCCGGTCAAACTTGCGGTTCTTATGCCGGTCAACTATTCGTGCACACGTCTGCGCTCTACGCCGTTTTTATTCTGGAATTTCAAACCTGCATTGTGTAACGCAAACGGCTGTCCTGGCGGTCTTTCTGACGGACCCGCGCACCCCGGACGATGCTCGTCTCTCTATACAAGCTCTGAAGGACAATACTCTTCCTGCGGTTGCAACCGTCTCAAGCTAAGTTGTTCCCGCTTAAATCTAACGATGACTGGGCTTTTAACGGCATTTTGCTCAACACTAACGGATTAAATCATCCTCCCATGGCGATGTAAGAGCGACTACTTTCCACATACCAACTTGTGGTATTACAAGAGACGATGTTCATCAAACGATACTCAATCCAGACGAATGGGCAATTCATTTTTTTGACGGATCCTGGTTCCCGATGCTTTTGTTCCGACTGGACTTCGCCTATTTTAATTATCTACATGGCGTCGGGCTTGTGCTTTCTTCTGTTTCATCTTTTTAAGACGTTACTTCTAGCATCTGCACCTCGCAGCTCAAGAACCGCTATTTGCTTCTTCGAGCCAAAGTGGACGATGATCCAGTCTTCATTCACGTGGGATACGCTCCCGATGCACCTTCCGAACGCGGTGATTTTTTTTCGCTTCCTTCGACAATGGTTGAAGACGTTGATATGGATTGCTCTGTCAAACATATTGTTGTCGGTGATTTCAATGTCACCCTGGATATTTACCTGGGCAAAAATTACCTGCTCTCCATCATCCTGGTACTGGACGCAAAGACCTTCATGCCCCAGCTGGACGTCTCTCTGTTTAATAGACTCTTGACGTTATACGAATCTTGACGGCGGAAACTACACCATCCCCAAACGCAAGAATCACGTGGATGATTGATTTCTTACCGTTGATCTGGTACAGGAAAACTTGGTAAAAGTATGCCACGTGCGCGACCAGAAGGGGCATACTGAGAATTATTATCCTTTGGAATTGTGCCTTCAAGTGAAAATTGTACCGCGTGGCCGGCCGCCTCCTTGGCGCTGCCGTACTTGGCTTATGATTGATGCTTCAATATAGACTATCTACTGACATCTGTGAACAACTTAGTACATCGTATTAAGGTGTTTCCTGGGGCTTACTCTGGTTTTAAATTGGACCAACACAAGCGCGCAGACCAAATATTTTTGAAGCGACGATGGTTGGAGCTTCGTGACATTGCTAACAGACGCGCTTCTGAACTCGGTAAAGCCGTTAATGACTTTCAAAATCTTTACAAATCCACATCAACGGATGCTAGCTTCGAAGTGGTGGAGCAGTCCAAGTTTTTGCTTAATACACATCTGGATGATGTAAAAGTTCGGAATCAGTACAGGAAGTTTGTTGCCGACTTACACTCCTGCGAACGCGCCACTAAACATTTTAAACCACATTGTTGCATGCAGTCTTTAATTACTGGTTTCGAGACACCGATGGATTGATACCGAGGACCCTACCGCGATTGCCACCGTCCATCGCCTAATTTGGGGTCAACTTTATCAGACGCCTTCTCCCGATCTGTATGATCGACAAACTGCCACTTACCTGCCTCTTCGCCTGGTTGAGTACCTTCAAGATACGAAGACACGCCTTTTAACGACTCACGTTTCGCTGATGTATGCGCCTTGTACGACAACTGAGTTTTACTATGTGACTTTGACGTGTAAGAGTTGTAAGGCCCCAGATCCTGATGGCCTTCCTTTTGAATATTACAAGGTGGTTATTCACGCTTGGGCGCGCATTTTTGTAGTCATTTTTGATAATCAGCTACACAAAGGCCAGATGGCCAAGTTTCAGTGACGTGCCAGATTTCGTTGCTTTACAAGTCCGGTGATTGCAGAATGCCTACGACTTATCGGCCACTTACGCTGCTTCATCACGATGCTAAGCTCGGTCCCAAGATTCTGGGCTTATCGTCTGAGACTTGTGCTAACGGATCTTACTCACGCTGATGAGAGCAAATTCATTAACAGTCGTTCAATTTGACACTCGCTGCTTCAATTTTAAGATCATCAATACTTTTGTAAGACTCGTCGTAACGACGCTTGCGCTGTGATGTTGGACTTTGTCAAGGCTCTTGATAGTGTTTTTTGGCCCTCCTGGATTAAATGTTTTATCACTTTGGTTCAGGTCTATTTCCGGGCGTGGATCGAGACATTTCACCATCAAACTTCGGTCAGCATCATGTTAAATGGGTCTACGGGTGATCCTTTCGTGTTGGGTGCCGGCGTTCGCCAAGGTGATTCTTATCATCTGGCTTGTTCGTTCTCTTTATTGTGTCCATGATGAATTTTCTACAAGCTCGATTCTCGGATCGTAATATTTCAGTCCACCGGACTTTCGAGCCTCACTTACTTTTTGCGTTTGCCGACGATTGCACCGGAATCCATCAGCATCCACATACTAATGAAGTATGTGAATGCTGATGGATTTCTTGGTATATGAATGACTACTCCACCGCCGCAGGACTTCTGCTTGACGTGGATGAGACTTCTGTGATGCCTTTTTAGCATAGAGTCTTTCGACTTACATTGGCTAGCCTGCGCTCTACTTCTACATTCAATGTTCTTGGCGTGACGGATGCAGTAAATTTACTGGACATTTTGCACGGCGCCACCATACGGCTGATGCACGGTTTTGCCACATTCTGCTGAAGCTTCGCGCGCGTTGTGCCATTGGAAAGTACAGGGCGCGCAAACTTCGTGGTAAAATTGTGCTTCTGCAGAGTATTGTCTTGCCGCTTTTCTGGTATGCTGCCAGTGTGACTTTTTTACTGCATTGTTGAAAAGCGTGGATGTGATTATACGCAACTTCATCAGTGCAGTGACTACCGACAGTGACTCGGCTAGTCATGTCAAGCTTTTTAAATACTGGACCTACAATGTAAAAGTCAAGTTTACTTGGACTTACTTCGATCAAGGATTTTATTCAATCCATGCATCTAAAGTCGTTGGGGGACGCTATTATCGTGACATTCAGACATTGCGCAGCACCACGTTTGACGAATACCGCACTTTATCTCTTTTCGATGACTCTTCAATTTCAAGGCACTAGTTTTGACATCCTCTACGCGGTTGTTAAAGGCAAATGGGACTATCTTCCCGACTTTTGGTATTCTACGCTACGCCTATTGGAAGATCTCCACATGTCTTGTGGGTCTACCGATTGGAAGGCCTTCTCAAAAACAGCGCCATTCTGGAATAATTTCAATCTTTTGTTTGGATCAAGATCTTTGTCTACAAAAGGACTTAGTGGATATTTCTTCTTCGTACGCTACGCCCAAATTTATGGACACTCTTTTGGACGTCAATGATTTCTCGCGTCCGGCTTCCAAGACTCTCTTTATTCGGCAAATTATACTAAGGCTTTATCTGCTCACTAGTCATGACTCGCCTTTGTTTAGCCCGGTGTTCCCGCCTCTGATTGGATCGGCTCGCCATGTTTGGCGTTTTGTTTATCAGTTTGTCACTGATATAACTAACAAAACTTCGTGCGACTTTTTTGAGGACTTGTCACGACCCAAAGACCCCCCAACTTACCTTTACGCCAACTCGATATTGCCGGCTTTACGCCAATGAACAACATGTGGAATTTTGAATATGGTTTTGGATCGCCACGTTCTTCTTATTGCCGCGGACGTTGAATGCCGGCTTCAATACAATGTGTTGGGTTTCCGATACAAGGTTCGGTGGCGAACCGAAGTTACGCCTTCTTCGACTTGTATTCATTTGTGCAACACTATCGAAAAACCCATACATTCTTTTTGGTTTTGCCCTGTGGCCTCTTTTCAATGGGACTTTACCTACTGCCGTTTCGCGACTGTTTGGATGGCGAAATTTCTTGGTCGCAAATTCTGTTCCCTTCTTCTTTACGACTCCTTCCGGATACTGTCAAATGTTTTGACCACCGCGCTTTATTGTTGGTTCTCAATATTGCTCGCTATTGCGTCTTTCGCTCACTTTGGATCCATCAAAACAAGCGACTTTACAACCCCGAGACTTCAACTAATGCAGTCGTTGTTCGGCATCACGATTTTGCCAAGGTGGATCTTCACTTACGCGAATCGAAGGCAACCGTAGAACAAACGAATTGGCATGTCATGTTGCTGTTCTTATCGAGATTTGTCTGGCGTTATCGTCTGGCATTACTCTTTCCGCCCCAATTTTCTTTTCCCTGCGAGCCATTTAATTTTACCATGGCTGGACACTTTCGACCTAAGTGCCTATTATTCCTGATTTCATGATTATCATTTATGCGATGCGAAAGCAATAGGCTTTTTGAGCGGCCTTTTTTGTTGGCCTTGTTTTTATAATGGAGCTCTTGATTTAAAGCCGGTCCGCCATGTCAAGTCGGCTCCATTTTGAACTGGTGGCTACATAATGGCTCTCATTTTGGTTGTCGCGAGTTAAAACTGGCAAACTGGCTATTATTACAACTCTCTTAAGTTGGTTATACGCAACCTTGCCACCCGTACTAAACAATTCGCTGCGCACATTCGTCGCGAGGCCAATTTATAGCCTATGTACGGTTGTGGGTTTCTCCTTTTAAGGTAGGTGGCTTTGAATACCTGGACGTTGCCGACTGCTTTTCCCCCACGTAGATG